AAATAGTTTTCACAAATAGTTTATACATAGGTATCGTTTTTAAAAATTGAGTAAACAGAAACAGAAAAAGAAAATATTTTTTTTTAGATTCTATAAAGAACGGAGTACGGAGAACTGACGGCCGATGAGGCAGCAAGGTTCTGGAGTGGAGGCCGCGTACCGGAAAACGCAGCGTGGGATGTTCCCACCAGGTGGACCGACGACCTCATAAAGGTGGGAAAGCTAGGAAGGCGCTGGATGCAGAAAGAAAAATTTGAAAATTTGCCAGGAAATGCTGAAATCGTTCTCCTTTTCCCATCTAAGTTTTAAACAATGTTTTGACATTAAAAAAAAATATTCCTAACAAAAACAATAAAACCAATACATTACTACTTCATCAAATAACTTTTATTTCATAATAACTTATAATAAAAGTCCCTACCTACTTTTAAAATATTACAGCAATATACAGAATGAGGCACTTTTCGACACCATAAAGTATTATTTTATTTTACAATTTCAATATTTAATGGCAAAAATGTCACTGTAAAAATTTAAAGGCAGTTTTGTGGTATAGATGACCCACGCTGAACTGTCCCACCAAACTCAATGACAGGGGGGCGCTACCATCGTTCAACTATATGGTTTCCAACATGGCAAAAATCGGAACCAGCGATCCGGTATTGACGGTGGCGCCCCACTGTCAATGTCATGGATAGGACAGTTCAGTATTTTGGAACTATACAGCAGCGTCAAATAGTTTCGTGACACCCAAAGTAGCCAAAAGTTCGCAACACGTCTTTGTTACAATTGGAATAAGGTTGTGTTGACTACTTTTTGGCCACTTTGGGAGTCACGAACTATTTGACGCTGCTGTACAAGCACATATTTGTACAAATATTTTAGCAGTGTGAAAAGTTGTTCAAGCCTTCTTTTGAGATACACTGTAGGTACTCATTAACGAGATTGTCGTCCCATAAGTGAAACTGTACAAAAAATATCGCGAAAACTGTATGGAAGACGTGTTTGCGAAGAACTTTAACAAACATTTGTACAAATATATTGACTAACATCTTGATACATATCTGTGACTGATGTTAGGTCTGTTTTTTTAGTTTATTTAAAAATCGATATATCTTTCACACTAGCGCCATCTAGTAGAAAGATCAAGAAATTTTGTCTCTGGTCAATTTACTACTTCTTAAAATCACCACCAGAGCGCCAAATTGACATTTGCTTAAAAATATAAAAGCTCAATCAATAATGACTTTAAAATTGTTAATTTTCAAAAGGAATGTATTCAAGTCGATATTTTTCGTTATAGTATAAATATATAAAATAAAATGTATTCTGAAACATACTAAAATGAATTTGTAATGTAGTACAACAATACACAAGGATTAAAAAAAGTTTGGTTCTATATTTCTACTTCATTTGTTGCGATAATTTAGTACATACATTTGTCTCTTTCACTCGTATCACCATTTTGATGAGTGAGAGAGACAGATGTACCCCAGTATCAGAATATTGATTCAGTCTTAAGCAATCGAGCCTCGATATGATATTGTATTAAAAGTACATATAGAAAAACCTTGTATGTAAATATGGGACAAATATGTATAGTCTGGTCTGCGAGCACGTAGAATTTTGTCCAATGACCCCAAGCTACCCATCCTTATCGCTCGCGCGTAATGTTGCTGTCGCGCTCGCACACTCACTGCGGGCGCCCGTCGCACAGTCGCGACAGCAATATAATTACGCGCGAGCGATAAGGATGGGTAGCTTGGGGTCATTGGACAAAATTCTACGTGCTCACAGACCGGGCTTTAGGCATTTAGATAGTCCAGTGAGCGTCAAATAGTAACACCCAAAGTGGCCAAAAAGTTGACAACACAACCTTATTCCAATTGTAACAAAGACGTGTTGCGGACTTTTTGGCTACTTTGGGTGTCACGAACTATTTGACGCTGACTGTGTACCTTTTAATTTTAAAATAAGTACATACACAGATTAAGTAAATAACAATAACACTATACAGTGTGTCCGGGCATGTAGTGATCAAACTTTAAGGGCGAAATCTAGGGACAATTTTATCGATAAAAATACTTCAAATTTGGGGCTTGACCCATTTTTCGCAAAATTACAAGGATTTAAGTTTTTAATTTTTAGTTTTCACCTCTTCCTTCAAAAACAAGTGAAAGCGTGGGTAGCTTAACATTAATATGCAAATATTTTATATCATTCGATAGCCAATAAAATTGTCTTTTAGTAGAAGTAGAAAACAAAAACAAGTTTTGTACATTTTATGGGAGTAAGAATGGATTTAATTAGAAAAATACATTATTTTTTCACTTCTTTTTCAGTTATTTTCCAACACAGGAAAAACTAGGTCGTTAAAGTATGTTTTATTTGCATTGTATTATTAGTGTTTGAGCTATTCTACAAAACGAATGTAAATTTATTAGTCTACGTCTATTAGTTTCGACGTTATTGTTGAACAAAGATACCCCTTCCCAGCCGGTTCCATAGCGCTGCTAACATGCGAAAATGCACTGCCTGAAAGAATCACACAACCTATTCCGACGCGCTATGGAACCGGCTGGGAAGGGGTATCTTTGTTCAACAATAACGTCGAAACTAATAGATGTAGACTAATAAAATTACATTCGTTTTGTAGAATAGCTCAAACACTAATAATACAATGCAAAAAAAAACATACTTTAACGACCTGGTTTTTCTTGTGTTAGAAAATAGCTGAAAAAGAAGTTAAAAAAATCATGTATTTTTCTAATTAAATCCATTCTTACTCCCATAAAATGTATGAAACTTGTGTCTGTTTTCTACTTCTACTAAAAGATAATTTTATTGGCTATCGCATGATATAAAATATTTGCTTATTAATGTTAAACTACCCACGCTATCACTTGTTTTTGAAGGAAGAGGTGAAAACTTAAAATTAAAAACTTAAATCCTTGTAATTTTGCGAGAAATGGGTCAAGCCCCAAATTTAAAGTATTTTCACCGATAAAATTGTCCATAGATTACGCCCTTAAAGTTTGATCACTACATGCCCGGACACACTGTATAGATGACCCACGCTGAACTGTCCCACCAAACTCAATGACAGGGGGGCGCTACCATCGTTCAACTATATGGTTTCCAACATGGCAAAAATCAGAACCAGCGATCCGGTATTGACGGTGGCGCCCCACTGTCAATGTCATGCATAGAACAGTTCAGTATTTTGGAACTATACCAAGTTTTTTTCATCATCAGTCATTTAGTCTCCACTGCAGGAGCACGCCTCTAATTGACCAGAGGCAAGAGGATTTGTCCTACACTCCCCACGCTGGCCAGACGGGTTGGGGAGGCCTGATGCTCGCATATTTGTCCCTTATTAATACAAGGCTTTATTTAAAGATAATATGAGATTACTACAACTATTTATATCACATAGCGATTGAAGACAATACAAAATTAATGAACTGTATAAATGGAGATATAATTGTATGTGCATGTATAAATAACTAGCGGCCGCCCGCGACTTCGTAAGCGTGGATCCTGTTTTACCCCCTTAGGGGTTGAATTTTGCCGAATCGAGTCTTAGAGTAGGCGCACACCGTTGATTTTTCGTCGGCCGATAGTTTAGTCGGGCAGTTGATCAGTATGGGCATGTATGGGAGTGCGCACACTACGCCGATTCGATTTGGCCGATTCTTCATACAAATTAAAATCGAGCACAACTATCGGCCAACTAAAAATCAACGGTGTGCGCCTACTCTTAGTGAGCACCTACGTTCTAAAAGGAACCCCCATGCTTTATGACTCCTAGCACTAGTTTCTGAGATTTCGTGATGAGTGAGTCAGTCAGTCAGTCAGTGACCTTTAGCTTCTAGAAATAGATGTATCCTTGGACATTTTACACTGCGCCTCTAGTCCCAAACTAAGCAAAGCTTGTACTATGGGTACTAGACAACGGATATAAACATACTTATACTATACTTTTTTTGTAACATATGCATCATCAGAGGGCTGAGTGTGAGTTTATATCAAACCTCCTCACTAGTGAGCGCGAAAAAAAATGTATGAAAATTTTAGTTCTTTAACGTTTCCGCTAGGGGCGCTGTACAATCCGTCATACATTTAATGTCATTTTTTTACGCGCTCACTAGTGAGTGATGTTATGAATCAGGCACTGACTAAAGTTAATGCACTGACATAGGATACAGTCAATTTGCAATTACTATCTCGATTTAAACAGTTTATTAATTTTAAAGAAACATTTAAGGCCTTTCTTATTATTTAATATTATTTAATACTACAATCTACTCATACTACATTGATATTTGAAATAAATTACATTTCATTAAAATAATACATTATTTGTATGTCTGACTGTAGAATTAGACACAAAAATGTTTTAAATCTTAATCCGACTGCTTAAAGTTCAAAATAGCAGATCACTGTTTTAACACAGCTCTTTTTTTGTTTCTTTTTAACTGCCTTCAAAAAGGTGGTTTTAAATTCAGTTGGTATGATTTTTAAATCATACAATCAAATCCTACACTCTGACATACAAATGTAAATTCTAATAGAATACAATAAGGCACATTTTCGATTACGTTTAATCACTGGCGTTTTGCCTATACTATCAACAATAAGGGCATACGCAGACTTGACTTTTTCTTGATTTGAAAAGACTCACAATAAAAAGACAGCACTAACACCCGTATTCACAAACGATGCTTGCTTAAGCAAAGTTGCAAATCGAACGCACAGCGTTGAATAAAGCTCTGTGATTGGTTTGTGTATGATCCTGTGCGTCCGCGCGCACTGTGAGACCTCATAGTAATGTAAAATGTTTGTGAATTCGGGTGTAAGACTTGTCAGTCCGACTAAAGCCCGGTCTGTGAGCACATAGAATTTTGTCCAATGACCCCAAGCTACCCATCCTTATCGCTCGCGCGTAATTATATTGCTGTCGCGACTGTGCGACGGGCGCCCGCAGTGAGTGTGCGAGCGCGATAGCAACATAATTACGCGCGAGCGATAAGGATGGGTAGCTTGGGGTCATTGGACAAAATTCTACGTGCTCACGGACCAGACTATACGCAAGACGTCAGCGCGAGCGTATATAGATACAAATCTTTGCTTTTGGTAGCCTCCACTCTTACTGTATTAACTATACCTTTAAGTCATTTCTGCGTACCCTTTCACAGATCACAATAAACACTTAAGTAATCAAATCCCTCAGTTTAGTCTTTAGCAACTTCACTTTTTTATTCACTGCACTTTTGTAGTTACTTTTATCAACACTTTTAGCACTTTTATTTCTCCACAATCGTTCGTTGAAGATTTCATAGAACAAAGGTAGTGGTGTGTCAACCAATTTTGAGTCAGCGAACTCAAATTTCAGTGACATTGGTAGGGCTGGAGTGGTCGGTGACTGTGGCTGCAGACGTATGCTCACAGACATGTTTTGGATGAAATGGTTGAACATGGCTGTCTCTGTGAACCATTCGAGGAAATACTGGTTCTGTTTGGATGGAACGCTCTTGATGTATGCTTCTTTCTGGAATGGGAGAACAATTTGTTTTAGTTATCATGTTTCCTGGGTAAAAAAACAAGTTTGAATTAGTCATATCAAAAAAATACCCGACACGTATTGTCATTTTTTCAAACTAATGAAAATTTAATGAGATAAAGCGCGCCAAAGTTCAAAAGTAGAGGCCCGTGACGTCAAGGCGTGCTTAAAAGTGTAGCACATTGTGAAATCATGCGAAAATTCAACGCATCACAACTTCGTAATTACTATACTGTTTCATTGACAAATAAAAATATAACGTGTCCAATATTTTTTGATATGTAATTTACAGACTAAACTCCTGCTGCAACTCCTGTGTAGCCAGAATCTACAGCTTGACCGCCAATAACCCAACCAGTGAAGGTCAAGTTTGTCCCGGGGGAAAGTTAAACTGTCATTGGACCCGCTGTGAAATTAATCACCAATGTTACTTTAATCATCAACAGCCCTTTACAGTCCACTGCTGGACTATGAGCCTCCTCCACTATAGTGGAGGGTTTTGCCATAATCCCCACGCTTGGCAGGCGGGTTGGAGATCGCAGCTTAAAAGATTGATGTTTGTCAGAGAGCGCTGCTGCCCGTTCTCTGTTTGATGTGTAGTCCCTAAGTCGCCTCCTACGACACCCGCGGGAAGAATAGGGGTTGGTGACAAATGTATTCTACTTTAATAACAATACTCACATCAAAAACCACATTCCCTTTGCCCAAATCCCCATCTTTCAGCTCCCCCACCGAGAAAAACCGCCAAAAATCTCCCAAAATGTCGACGAAAAACCGCAAAAACGCCTCCGATATCATCACATTTCTTGTCTTATTGTCCAGTTTATTTGTATGTTTGTTTGTCTCCATTTGTAGGGCGGTTTTTAAAGTCTTATATGATGTTGTAGGGAGGATGGTAGACTCGTCGCCTTGGTAGAAAATCGCTTTGGAAGGATGAGTTAGGTCTATTAGCATGCCCTGGAAAGAAAAGTTTGTTTAGATAAAGTAATTAAAAAAAAAAATGCCAAGTGCATGTCGTGTCACGCGCATTGTAGGGTTCCGTAGTTTGTCCGTCGTTAACACAATATATTTCAGAAGCAAGCAATTACTTCATCTAAAGTCACTTTTAATATTTTCTTCTAAGGAATTTATACTAGTTAAGAAATTTTATAATACATGAGTTAAATGACTATTAATCTTAAACTAACTGATGTATCTTAACCGTTATAGTTTTCTTTGAAAGTTCATGAAAAGCAGTATTATTGCGAATTTTTCCAAATTTTTCAAGCCAACAGTTTAGTTTTTACAGGGGGGGGGACGTAATATACCTACATACCTCCACAAAATTACAGCTTTCTAGTGCCAGTAGTTTCTAAGCAAAACCTCGGACAGACAGACTTATCGAAACTATAAGGGTTCCTTGTCAGGACTACGGAACCCTTAAAAGTGTGGTTGGTAGAATAGAATAGGACCACGCCCACTCTTGCCGTGGATTAGTAAAAGGGGAATAAAGATAAATATACGAACATCAGGCCTCCCCAACCCGTCTGAGGTTGTTTTGCTAGTTAGAGGTAATATATCATGAGTAAGTACCCCCCATGCCAGTTTTTCCTCCTGCTCCAGGACATAATATCCCCCTATCTAGCCAAAATATCCCATCTTTAGCTAGATTGTCCCCCGTCTCTAGCTAGAATGTCCCCTCTTCAGTCAAACTGTCCCCCTCTAGCCAGAATGTCCCCTTTCTCAGCCAAAATGACCCGTTTATAGCCAGAATATCTCCCTATCCAGCCAGAATGACCCTTCCGCAGCAAGAATGTCTCCCTTTTCCAGCCAAAATATCCCCCTTTTCCAGCCAGAATATCCCCTTTAATAAAACTCACCTCCTCAAAAAGAACTCCAGTATAATCCACCTCTTGAGTCTTCAACATGCCAGCCAGTATAGGCAGGGGCGCTTCTAACACGTCCCTTTGGAGACCCCCCTTGGCTAGACTACCCCCCCCTAAATCAAGAGTGTCCCTCCCCAGACAGTCCTCAATATCCCCCCCCTCCAATTTACAATCCCCCCCCCAAGTTACAATGCCCGTTAAGTCACAATTCCCCCCTGTTAAGTCACATTGCCCCTCCCCTTGTGTCAGACTGCCCCTCTCTCAGCTCATAATCTGGATAACCACATTACCTTCTTCCACGCAGTCGACTAAAAACTCACCTATTGAAAATAGCTCCTGTGTTAGAATGTCCCCCTCTCCCTCTAGCTCAGAATCTAGTTAAACACACTATTCTTTTTCACGTAGTCGGTTGAAACACTCACCTCCTCAAAAAGAACTCTAGAATAATCCACCTCTTGAGTCTTCAACATGCCAGCCAGTATAGGCAGGGGCGCTTCTAACACGTCCCTTTGTATCTCAGAAGGTATCGCTGCTATGAGGGGCTGTTGCCATACGAAGGGGTAGAGAAATTGATCCCCTCTAGGACAGAATGTCCCCCCTAGTTTAGACTGCCCCCCTCTCTAGCCAGAATGTCCCACTTCCAAAGCCAGATTGTCCCCCTATTTAGCCAGAATGTCTCCCTTTAGTCAGAATGCCCTCTCCCTAGCCAGAATATTCCTTTGCCTAGCCAAATGTCCCTCGTCCCGGCCAGAAAGTCCCCCTTCGCAGCCAAAATGTTCCCTTTCCAAGCCATAATGTCCCTCTCTCTAGCTAAAATATTCCCCTACCTCGCCAAAATGTCCCCTCCACAGCCAGAATGTCTCCCTTTTCCAGTCAAAAAATCCCCTTTCCCAGCCAGAATATCCCCTTTAATAAAACTCACCTCCTCAAAAAGAACTCCAGTGTAATCCACCTCTTGAGTCTTCAACATGCCAGCCAGTATAGGCAGGGGCGCTTCTAACACGTCCCTTTGTATCTCAGAAGGGATGGCTGCTATGAGAGGCTGTTGCCATACGAAGGGGTAGAGGGCGCTTTGGAGAGCCTCCATGCAGGATGATACGGCGCTGGAATAGATAAGAAAATAGTGTTAATAAAAAAAGAAGAAGGAATAGTAAGGCCCAAAAACTGTTCCTTGAAGAAGACCTTATGGTCTTTATTCATGCCTTAAGGAACTGTGCTTTGACCCATTGCGGTATTTTCTACTTTATCGTCATCATTTCAGCCACAGGACGTCCACTGCTGAACATGGGTCTCCCAGACTGGTTATTAGCGGGTCAGCATCCAGCGCCTTCCTGGTTGCTACCTTTATGGAGTCGTCTGTCCATCTTGTCATGAGTGGAGGTTCCGGAGTTGTGCTTTAAGGTATATACCAGCCTGGCCTCCACTTCAGAACCTTGCTGCCCCAAATTTTCCATTTGCCTCTGGTAAATCAGAGAGTTATAATCCTGCAGTGGAGACTAAATGAACTGATGATGATGAAGCTACACCACCTGTCTGCAATTACGGAGTTCTATTCAACGCGGCAACGCTGTGCGTTGTGTGACCTGTCTACAATTACGGAGTTCTATTCAACGCTGTGCGTTCGAATTGCTGCTTCACTTATGCAAGCATCGTTTGTGAATACGGTCGTAATAGTCCAGTTGACCCATCGAACTATACGTATGGAGATCTTCCATTAAAGGATTTTTTTTTTTTTTGAAGAGACGCGCGCTGGTAGCTTGAGGAGCTTTTCTAGCTTCACCGGGCAGAGTGGCGAGTACAGAAGGTACTCTAGCCGTTTGGCGATCGTCGGTGCGCGTGCCGACGAGGCCGAGTGTGGCAGGCTCGTCCGCGTCGGTCGCAGACCGACGTTCGCGATCGGGCCGTATCGAGCGCATAAGGCGCCCGATCAGTGGCGAACCCAACTAGAGGGTTGCCCACCGCGGTGTTGGACCAAAGTCCAGCCTACGGCGGGCTCACTCTAGTGGGCCCGATCGAGGGGACTACGGACGCGGCCTGAGGGCGCCACGGTAGGCTCGGACCTGGGCTCAGGCCGTGTCCGGGGGACGGATAGGGGAGCATTAAAGGAAGCCATTTTGGTTTTCTATATATACTCAGTCAGGGTCAAAAACTTTAATACCGCGATGCAGGTTTGTATGCGCGGAGACGTGTATCATAGTAAGCATGTATCAACGCCATCTATTGGGTGATGACTGGCACCAGTTTGTAGTGGCAAGTCGGTAGATGGCGTCACAAATACGGCTTCTGCAGTGGAGACTAAATGACTTGATGATGATGAAGCTACATACCTGAGCTGATGGCTGTATAATAGTGTCTCCATTTGCCTCTGGTATTAGAGAGGGTCGTGCTCCTGGAGTGGATGTTGATGATATGATGATGAAACTATAGTCTGGTCCGTGAGCACGTAGAATTTTGTCCAATGACCCCAAGCTACCCATCCTTATCGCTCGCGCGTAATTATGTTGCTATCGCGCTCGCATACTCTCTGCGGGCGCGCGTCGCACAGTCGCGACAGCAATATAATTACGCGCGAGCGATAAGGGTGGGTAGCTTGGGGTCATTGGACAAAATTCTACGTGCTCGCAGACCAGACTATAGATAATAGTGTCTCCAGTTTTTCCTCTAGTATTAGAGAGGGTCGTGCTTCTGTACTAGAGACTATATGACCTGCTGATGATGATGATGGTGAAGCTACCCACCTGAGCTGGTCGCTGCATATGACCAGCTTTCGCTCCAGCAGCAGAGAGCCGAAGACCTTGATGACGAGCCCCGCGCCTAGCGAGTCCAGCAGAGTAGACAGGTTGTCCTCATCTACGCGAGGCTCTAAAGGCCTCTTTATTATTCTTGTCCTGCAAATAATATAATAATGTTTTATTAGGCACTAAAGTTAAACTTAAAAACTAGCTATACGAAACAAACCTATTTTTTACTCTTATTTTTTTATCAAAGTTTTAAACTCGACTACAAACGAAGTTTTGAAATATACTGATAAAAAATCGCATGTTTTCTTCCTTTAAGAGCTAAGAACGCATGACATTGAAACGGCTGAATCGATCTCGATCAAACAAAACCTCTAAAAAACCTCAAAAATGTCTAAGAACCACCGCTAAATAACTTGCTTTTAAATAAAAAAATCGCATCCAAATCGGTTCACCCGTTCTCTTGAACGGGTGAACCGATTTGGATGCGATTAACTTAGCTCTTGCTAAGGTGCCAAGGATAGATACACAAATCTTTTTTCGTCGGGGGTTAAAAAACAACAAAATAGAAGAAAGAAACGCTTTGATAAAGTACAGTCATGAATAAAATCTCACCTTGGATTTTCCAAGCTCAACAAGACTTTCTTCGGTCCATTATTGTTTTCCAAATCCAAAAACTTGGGCAGATCCGAATAATCCCTCGCCTCAGAACCATCCGAGCCATTCGCGAGTTCTTTCGAGCCATCGCCGACTTCATTCGAGCCATCGTCGAGTTCTTTCGAGCCATTGGATGGCTCGTTCGAGAATTCGTTGCCACCGCTTCTTCTCATGTCTGGCATTGTTTTGCATTTGAGTATATCGCCTAAATTGACGGAGTTTCTGTATGTTTTGTCTGATATGCAGATATCCGAGTCGTATTTATGGTTGTATGTTATGGATAATTCTTCTCCAGGGCTCGGGAAGTCGGTCTCGAATAACTGCTGGAGAATGGAATGTATTTCTACTTCTGAGCTGCCGTGGTGAGATTCGATTTCTTGCAGGACCTGCAAATAGGAGAGTAATCATGAAATAAAAAAAAAATGCAAGCTTTTTTAACTTTAAACATATTTGAGTCATATCTTGCAAGCTGAATTACGGCCATAGCAGAATTACGACTGTGCGACGGGCGCCCGCAGTGAGTGTGCGAGCGCGATAACAACATAATTACGCGCGAGCGATAAGGATGGGTAGCTTGGGGTCATTGGACAAAATTCTACGTGCTCGCAGACCAGACTATACCTTGTAGTAAAACCCTGGGGCCCTGTACCGGCCTATGAGGCAGTAACATAGGGGCAAACACGTTGAAGCTCCTTCTGGTAGCACTCTACGGCAATACCTGGAAATTTAACGATAATCTTTTATCAAGAAATGAACAGATTATACTTATGATTATACAAACTATATTATTATGTGACATCATCTACTATAGTTCCAGCTACCCATATCAGGTTATGTCGTCTCGTTCTATCACAAAGAATTTCCATTTGATGAGAGCGAAAGAAAAAATGGGAACGGCTAACTGAAACTGTGACCCCACTGGACAAGAGTTAAATAAGTTTAGTTCACAAGAGAAAAGTAGTAGACAAAAACTTTGAAACAACATTTTTAACTGCAAAAATTAAATAATTGATTTCTTGAAGGAATTGAATTTGAACAAATCAGTCATCAAGTAGTTCTTACGAGCCATTGCCGAGTTCTGGTTTGCTTGTATTTTTTATATTACAATGAAATATAGCCCCACAAGAAGAAATTAATGCCAATGGTATTCTCTCCCAGTCAATCTTTAACCAGTTAACTTACCCATAGGACCGCTCTCCCCTTTCATCAGTCAGTACCAAGGAATAGCACTGTGCCCCTTTAGCTTCAGCCGCCCATTCTCCCTTGGACGCAGCGCTTAGTGTCTCAGGAAATATTAGGTTCTCTATATGGGGTGGTACTTGCACCTGGAATATTAAATATGACGATGACGAAGAATGATATTTCCAAATGCAATCGCTCACCAAATGGCGCCACTAGCGAGTTATGTCCATAAAGTTTTTTTTTTATAATATAGTGGCAACCAAACCTCTCTGGGAGGTTTATTTCTGCCAATGTCGAGTGAAAAATTGACATAATAATATTATCAATAGAACGTGGGTGTTTCAGTGGAGTTAAGTATGCCCGTAAGCAGGTTTCAAGTTCATACGACAACCCACTCGACACTCGATATGTGCTCAAATTCGAAGTGTTTCAATGTTTTTTTTGTAATTTATCACTTCACTGCACTTTAGAACACAAAATAACACCAAATTTGTACACTAAAGTCCATTAAATAATAAATTGAAACCATTAAAACAGATCGACCATGCTTCCCGTTCAACTACCCTCCACGGAATCCGTCCATAAAGTTATTATTCCTTCGGAATAGAGCAACAACCACGAGCTATCAAACGAAACCGATTTTGGATGACACTGGATGTAATTTGTGTGTCAGGGTCAGGATTATTTCACTGTTTTGTACATTAATCAATCACTGAACCAGTCACTACGTTTCTGAAGCACTATTTATAAACACCCACGTAAAATCTGAAAAAATCCCAGAGCTCAAATTTTCAGCTAACTATCTGTCAAATTATTGCAAAAAACGGTTGTTACGTCGCATCACGTATCTCTTTTTATCACAGTGTTGCTGCTAGTGACATCTCGCTCGTTCAGTCCTTTTTTGCTCTATTCCGCTAGGTATATTAACTTTATGGGCGGAACTACAGCCCGGTCTGTGAGCACGTAGGATTTTGTCCAATGACCCCAAGCTACCATCCTTATCGCTCGCGCGTAATTATATTGCTGTCGCGACTGTGCGACGGGCGCCCGCAGTGAGTGTGCGAGCGCGACAGCAACATAATTGCGCACGAGCGGTAAGGATGGGTAGCTTGGGGTCATTGAACAAAATTCTACGTGCTCACAGACCAGACTATACACAGGAGATGGAAAAAAATATTTACCTGATTAGGAAACACACTCTTGACGTATGCCTCTCCCGTCATATAATTGAGTCCAACCAATAGACAAATATTGAACAACCCTCTCTCTCTAGGTTCAAAAGGGAGCTCTATATCCACGCACCCCGTTTTCTCATCTATGCTGTATTTGTCTATGCTGTCACTGTCAAACTCATCCTTCATAGACAATATATTGCCCGTCGAATCTGTCAGATTGAATTTCGACTCTGTGGTGTCGGCCATTTTGGAATCGTTTAAATTCGAGCGCGAAGTCCGGAAACTTTTCCAGGAACGGAAAGTGGAGTACGGATTGTCTATAATTTCGGACTTGTAGGAGCAGACTGAGGTTTGGTGCCGATGGCGTAGGGGTCTCTTAATGTTGTTCTGGTCAAGGTAGGCCACTCGGGACGAGACTCGGCGTACGTAGTTCTTTCGTTTCTCGGTCAGACTCCTTGTTAGTTTGATTGAGTCTGAAAACAAAAAAAAAATATCTAAATAGGTACATATAACTCAAAGGTGACTGACTGACATAGTGATCTATCAACGCACAGCCCAAACCACTGGACGGATCGGGCTGAAATTTGGCATGCAGGTAGATGTTATGACGTAGTCATCCGCTAAGAAAGGATTTTACGAAACTCCACCCCTAAGGGGGAAAACGGGATCCACGCGTACGAAGTCGCGGGCGGCTGCTAGTTAGCAAAAAAAATGTAGTCTCATGTATATACTGTAAACTGTACCTAGTACCATATTATTAACTATAGTTCTCTCAATAACTATTCACCGACCTTCCCTTTATCAGTTAGTAAAGTAAACATAATCTATTTGTACACTTAGGAAAATGGCTTCCGCGATGCAAATAACAGTATTGGACTTCCTAATTGTTATTGTGAACGCAAACTCATTCTAATACAAATACAAAACGAAAAAGCACGCCTGTATTAAGGTCCAAAAAAAATTAAAAATTAGATATGTTATGACAGTTAGAGGGTTAAAAAATGCTTTTTAAAAACCTGATTATAAAAATAAATAACTTTCATGATAAGAATAAATTACCGAGGGAATCGCGATAAAAGCAAATGTCACATGGAGGGAGCCATATTTCAAGTAAAATTACATTATTTATTTCAAGTGTATCTCACATCAATGAAATCTTGACGGGTATAGTCTGGTCTGCGAGCACGTAGAATTTTGTCCAATGACCCCAAGCTACCCATCCTTATCGCTCGCGCGTAATTATATTGCTGTCGCGAATGTGCGACGGGCGCCCGCAGTGAGTGTGCGAGCGCGACAGCGACATAATTACGCACGAGCGATAAGGATGGGTAGCTTGGGGTCATTGGACAAAATTCTACGTGCTCGCAGACCAGACTATACACGGGCTATTTAGTTTACCTTCGCTAGTGCTGCCGTCTGTCGACTCAGTGGGGAAACTGAACGGCTTTCTGTCGTCCATGTTGCAAGCCGCCGTCACCGTCTCGTAAATCTCGTTCATGAGACGATTGAGCTGAAACAATCAATTTAATTAATTAAATTAAGTAATAAATACCCCCACAATAAAGTACAGCACAATAAACACATATTTCTATGACTGCGCCAGACAGTCTGCCAACAGAGAGAGATGGCGGGAGATCGTGCGGAAAGTTGTATCCGCCTCTACAACCGATGTGAACAACGCCTCAACGTGACCACGACCGCTCTGCTAAGAACGAAACGGTAAGATGAAGAATAAATCACAGTATTTCAATTAATACCTAAGTTTTAGAACCTAGAGCCACTTACTTGAGGAGAGCGCATATGCACAACTCTATACTGCACCTCTTCATCGAAAGAATTTGCCATAGCAAAACTTAAAGGACACTTTTCACTAATTAAAAACAGCCACAGATCTTAACAGAACTCGACGAGGTTTGAACTAAGATGACCATGGAATAAAACTGAACGCTATATTTATTGATTATGGACAAAAAACTACAATTTACATGCTCTAGACGGCAGATAAAGCTTTACTGCTTGACTGCAACAGCAGCTTTTGTAAGTACACAACAAATAATGAACTAAATGCGTATTACAAACAAATTAAATATCAATTTCAAGTTTCAATGCAGTTCCAAACTACGGATATTTTGTTGGGCGTGTTTAAATGTAAATATAAATAAATAATTAGAGAATAAACAAGATATAGATAAGATGAACAAAGAAATATTCCTACATATTAACTAATAGTAGAGGGCTAGGATATGAATAGATCTTACTAATTGAAATTAAAACTTATCAGTTATTTTAGTCTTCATTGCAGGAGCACGACCCTCTCTAAGTTACAGAGGCAAATGGAGGATTTGGCCTACACTCCCCACACTGGCAGCGACCACCTATTTAGACTCAATAGATATATCGTAAACATGTATGATGTCAATATTAAAATTTCATAAGCAATGACCAAGCATCAAGGGGTGACACTAGTACTCATGATACGGGGGGGAGATGCGATGCTGATCCTGGGGGGCACCAGACCATTTTGGGGGTGTCATCGCCTGACGCTGGCCTCTAACGCAGTTGCAATATGTGCTGGAACTTGAGAAAAGTTGATTCTTGGTTCTAAAAGTTAGCGCAGAAAAGTTCTCGAGTAGCGACCATGGGCCCGAAGACGTAGTGTAGGTAGACCTTCCAATAGGTGGACCGACGATCTGGAGAAGTTCGCGGGAAGTACAGGAGCGGAGTTATGGAAATCTTTGGGGGAGACCTTTGTCCAGATGTGGACGTCATTTGACTGATGCCCGTTTTAACTATCAATCCCTAATTTTTAAGTCACCCCTATGGTAACACCTAACAGGGCTTTTGTTTCCATAAGGGTCACTTAAAAATTAGGGATTAATGGTGAAAACGGGCATGAAACGAACGAACGAAGAACGCTATAGTATAGGTCTCTGTAAACTTCTGGACTATAAATGGTGCACGTACACAAGCATATTTAGGTTAACACACACACTAGTCATTTGATACGACACATTACTGCCTAATAACCTTTTAAAATTGTCGGAGTGTTACGCAAACAAATCCAGCAGCTATAACTAGTCTTACTATCGGAAAAGCAAAACCTTCCACTGACCCTCAGATATATTTTTACGAGCGTCCTCTAACACAAATACACTGTTTTTGACCTAAATATGCGACTTAATTTAATTACTAAGAGATAAATAGTTTTAGTGATCAATACAGATACAGACTTTAGAATTAGCCCTCGGTTTCGCTCGCTTTTGACAAACAAGGGGGTTACTCCCACCTTTCTTAAATACCACAAAACTCCTGTACAGCCAGGATCTACAGCTTGACCGCCAATGAAACTCAACCAGTGAAGGCTGAGACGCAGGCCGCAACCAATCGATCAACATGGAAATCATTGGGGGAGGCCTATGTTCAGCAGTGGACGTCCTGTGGCTGAAATGATGATGAAGGCTGGGTAGTCCCTGAGGACATCCTACTATATTGGAACCCGACACAGATTTACTTATACACGTCCTAAATATATCTTGCCCTACCACCACTTCGGGACAACATATGGGCTGGTGCTGAGAAGAAGTGGCGGAAGAAAGTCAGTCAGAATTGTCAGCCCTTTATTGAATTCTCTTCCTTACAAAGCTTATGCAGACTTGCCAAACTTAAGTGGCAGTGGGCGGGGCATATAGCTCGTAGAGCTGATGGCTGTTGTGGCAGAAAAGTTCTCGAGTGGCGACCATTCCATGGTTCACAGAATAGTTACTATGACCAATGACCATATTCCTATGCATGAACATAGTGACGTTGACGTAATACAGGTAGGCTTTCCACTCGGTGGACAGAGGACCTAAATAAAGCACAGGACGGGTAGTTGTGAAAATCCTTAGTGGACATTCGTCCAGTCATGGAAGTTTTGAGTTACAAAGGTAAGGATCTATAAATCAATCTTACTTCAACAAACGCACATACTATTTTACTTCTACATCAGTATAGATGACCCTCTGTCGTGTCAAAGAGGCAGGGTGGGGTTGTGATAACGTTTTTATTGTTTTCTTATCAGTTATTATCGCTGACGTAAATATGACAGTGTGCGTTAAAAATCCGCCTATATGCGAACATTTAAAAAATAGTAGGTGGTAAAAAACACGAATGTTCTGGGTCAGCTAGTATAGATCATTTCATCCACGAAGACGCGCCCCACCATTTTTCCGCTAATGTTTGAGTGTTATCGGTACACGCTAAATTATCCATGAGTGCACACGCACATTAAAATAATGACGCTCGGATTGCTCGGATCAAACTCCCCGCACCCCGCGCGACCGAGAACAAAAATTGGTGGGCGCGTCTTCGTGGATGAAACGATCTATAAGTACATGAACTAAGTTCGCTCGTTTCAGCCAAATGACGTCCACTTCTGGACAAAGCCCTGGTGCCCAAGGATTTAAGGACCGGTCCTGCGCTGCCCGCATCCAGGTGCTTCCCGCGACTTTCACCAGTTAATCGGTCCACCTAGTGGGAGGCCTGATTACACTATGTCTTCCGGCCCGTGGTCGCTCGCTACTCGAGCTGCCACTTTTTTCTGCGCTAACTTTTAGAACCAAGAATCAACTTTTCTTAAGTTCCAGCACATATTTCAACTGCGTTAGAGGCCAGAGTAAAAAAATAAAGGTAAGCAGGAAGGATACTGGCCGACCAACCGGTCAATTTGAAAATCACTGGGGGAGGCCTATGTTCAGCAGTGGACAGCCAACAGTCCTGTGGCTGAAATGATGATGATAACGATGAGATACTATCGTTCGTACTTTGAACTATTACGTAGTTTTTACCTACATTTGAGAGTTAATCCTTCAGTTATAGTTGAACGACCTTACGCAACAGTTATCAATCAAAATTAACATTAAGATTGCATAATGTAATGTAATAATTAAAAACTAGCTACATCCCACGTCTCCACTTGAGTCATTTTGTTGACAACAGTGACTAAGTTTCTTGAGCTGCTTCTTCTTAGCACTGGCCCATTCATTGTCTCGAAGCAGTGGTAGGGTTAAAGTAATATGACATTCTATGATGACATCATCAGGTCATTTAGTCTCCAGTGCAGGAGCACGATTTTCTTTTTTTTTTAACCACAACGAGGAAGCTCTTGGCATGTATCTCACCTGATGGTAAGTGACGATCAGGACGAAAGTGGAGTCGAGCTTCACCCGGAATCCTCAACCACGGAGGAACTTGCTATTTACCAGAACTCTCTCTATTTACCAGAGGCAAATAGATTTGTCCTACACTCCCCACGCTGGCCAGACGGGTTGGGGAGGTCTGATGTTCGCTTGTCCTTTAGTCGCCTCTTACGACATTCACGGGAAGAGTGGGAGCATAGTGGTCCTATTGCATTCTGCCAAAACCTGAACACAGCCAATTTAAACTTGACCTTCATTGGTTGGGTTATTGGCGGTCAAGCTGTAGATCCTGGCTACACAGGAGTTGCAGCGGCGGGAACGAGAGGTGGGAATAGTTCTTTATAATAGTAATATTGTCTGAAGAAAAAAGTGGGGTCACAATTAGTTTTGATAACGTAATCGCAAAACAAAATAAAAGGATTTTAATGACACTTTTTAATTAATAATTTTCTAAATGTAAGCAAATGTTCAGTAGGTACTGTAAGATGTGGTGTCAAAGTAAGACTGATGTCAAGATGTCAGACAACTACGCCGCATCAACCGCTGATGGGATTTATTGAAAGACGTGTTTTAGCTGCCGAATGCTTTATTGCACTGATTATAAAATGTTAAACTACCAAAGTCCCAAATGTAGGTCAGGCGTAGCTGGCCAAAGTGCATGAATAAAATGCAAGTTAACAATAAATTACTTAGTAATAAAAAATGTGCGAGTTGACTCGTACATATTGCCAACTACAAAAAATGTCAAAAACACATAAAAATAAAAATAAAAGAAGAAAGTTAAAAAAGAGAGTTTAAAAACCAACATATAAAATTAATTGCATAATTAGTAAGGTATTTATGGTTTAGGTAAATTATCAAATTTAATTGTTCTTGTCATAGTTGGAGAAGTGGCCCTATCCACACTTAACACGGATCCACTCATGTCACGACCCATCGACACTATTGTGTTCGACCTTTGTTCACTATCATGCACTGCACTGACACTATTAGCACTGGCACTGACACCCTGGCTGCTTCGCAACTCGAGGATGACAGGGCGCTCTTCCTGCGCGCCTCTGTCCCGCCAGCTCGCCAACACGCACCGGCCCTTCAGTTTGCAGCCGATGTAAATGACGACGACGACTATCAGCATCGCCAGTATAGCGTAAATAGTAGAATAGTGTGTGACACTGCTGTTCTGTAGCAGTTGTAAATCTTGCGATTTCAGCACTTCTATTCTTTTGTTTATTTCATCAAATAACTGATCATGATTCTCCAGGTTATCTAGCACCTTTTCGTTCATGGAGGTGTTTATCATATCGTTAAGAGATGAGGTATATTTAGGCAGGACCGGTATGTCAATGTCCTTATGTATGTACATTTCATTGTAGTAGTCATGTTGAGCATGTATTGTAAATATGTCACCTTTTAGAACGCAGCCTTGGCCGATATCAATGACCCCGTTCCCTTGTAGGTACTTAGTCTCGAGTCCAGCTGGGCACAAAATGCGAACTGAGCATTCTCGGCAACACGAGTATAGCCACGCGCCAGACGATTGTAATTTGATCCACCTGTCGGTACATTGTCTTATCTCTGAACGGCAGTAAGTTTGTTTATTGTTACTTGTGAACAATCTCAATTCACATAATGATTGATCAAAGTGCACATTGTGCCCCACAGTGACCCACAGTGGCCCCCATTACTTGCAGAGCGGTTCCCCGTGCGCCCAGGCCTGCACGTGCTCCGTCTGCCGCTGTGGCCCGATATCCGTGAGTGTTGTGCCCCACAGTGACCCACAGTGGCCCCCATTACTTGCAGAGCGGTTCCCCGTGCGCCCAGGCCTGCACGTGCTCCGTCTGCCGCTGTGGCCCGATATCCGTGAGTGTTGTGCCCCACAGTGACTCACGATGGCCCCCGTGACTATAGTAATCCAAACGAATATTAGTTAAAAAATATGGTGCTGAGGTGACCACAAGCAATGATTCACAGTAACCCCCGTGACCATAGTTCCAAGCGAACATTTTTCATTTTAAAACCTGCAGAAGCCACATAAGATTATATTTTTTTATTCTTCAGAAGTATGAGTTAAACAAGCACGTAAATAGACACTACTTTAGATCCGGCTCGAAGGACCAAAAATTCTTCAGTGAAATCGTTCGTAAACAATTGCTCACGATCCATTTTTGTTGACAAAAATGACACATAATTATGACCACTATTTGCCACGAGACAGTGGTAGTTTTATTTAAAGACGTGCCGATGTTTAGTAATACACCATCATTATAAGCTGCCTGCCGTTCGTTATGTAAAACTACCCACAGACTGCAGACTTTTAGCAGCCGATTGTTTGGTTGGCCCAATTTGTATGAGGAATCGGCCGATATCAAATCGGTGTAATAATAATAATAACGCATTATCATTATCTCGAAAGGGCGTCTTCGTGTTGGATCTGTATCTCCATGAACGGCTTCCAAAAGGACCGGCCGCGCTGTGATTGCCACAGGAGAGATAATAATAATCGTAATCATTTATTTCAATCACAATCATATTAGTTTAGACTTTTAGAGGTTACATTTTATAGCCTGACCAGGAACATAAAAACCCTGGCATAGAGGCGCGTCAATTGCATTTGATAGTGCAACACTGAGTACAGTCGTACCTGTGTTAAATTAATAGGCTAACTTTATGTATCAGGATTCAGGATTACGGGCTAATTTGATATTTTCATAAATTAACGAAAAAATATTATTATAGGTAACCTGGTTTAAATAAATTAAATGAAACCATCAATCGAGCTAGTAGGATTTATTTTATTATTCATCAATAATCAAATTCAGAACTTGAATATTCAACTGCAATGTCTGCTCATGAACGCTTCAAACTCGGTACTTCTTTCCCAATTCCATAAAATTCAACACTTAGAAAGTGACAATTTTTTTTAAAATAGGTAGTTGAAACAAACCACAGCTAATTTTCATAGTGGACTGTACTATACGATAAACATGTCAGTCAATTTGACAACCTTTGTCGGAAACATTATTCAAAGAAAAAATTGTCCGAATCCTTAGTATTTCTCTTCGACAAATACTTTAACACATTGTGAACCACTTTTCTTTCAAGACTATAAAAAGATTTTAGCAATTTAATTCACAAAATCAATTGCGCACATTTAAAATAAAGTTTGTTTACACTTTGACAACAATAGACTGACATGCAAGGTGACATGTCAATGAAGTTTTCAGTTATTGTTGCCATTAAAAGAAATTAGTACCATTAGATTTCCGCAACATGGCGAGGGTTTTTATGTTCCTGGTCGGGCTATAATATGCAAACCTTCTTACACGTTTATACTGATTAACAGCCCGACCAAATCGGCCGACAAAAAGTCTATAGCATGCAAGGTGTCTAATATGACCATGTGTTTGGTCGGTTGCAGAGAGCCCGCTTGCGCAAGCGTCACTGGCAGTGAATACTCTAGAGTGGGCGCTGCTCGCTGGCTGTGACGCGCTCGACGCCTTACTGGCGCTACGACCCGCCGCCGTGCAACATACATACGACAGGTAAGCCACATTTTGGTCTCATTAACTCCTTGTACTAAAATAAGATATGTGAACGAAATACGTCACCGACACTACGAGAGATTAATTGTTTGAAAGGCTTTGTGGTGTAAAATAAAATTATATTGTAAAATAAAATCAAATTACATGTTGCTTAGTTCAGTAGAAAGTCAAGAGGAAGAGAAAAAAGTGACAATCGATAAAAACATAAAAAGTAAAAAGAAGTTTCTCGCCGGCCAGGCGCGCGGCCAAGGAGTTTGGTCGCACATAGGCGACCTTTACAATTTTACTAGGCCGTAACATTAGACAGACCTGTACAATATGCTTAATGTCTCTACCCACTACACCGTATCATACCATGACCGTGCTAGGAACGTGTCAGGCAAATAAATATTATTTGTATTGAAAAGTATGACACTGTTCCCAGTAGACCGTTCCGTCACCGACCAACACCGTCGCGTGCCATGCACGGAGCGTCAACAATGTCGGCGAGAATATTGAATTTGGACATTAAATTTGGACAGAACGCCGTCCATCCGTTCAGTGGGCATAGTAGAGCGTATCGTGTTGCTTTTCGTGCCTGACACGTTCCTAGCACGGTCATGGTATGATACGGTGTAGTGGGTAGAGACCTTTTTGTTCACCACAATAATCCAGCGGCGACGAGGTTCGAATCAGCGTTCCTCGGATCTCGAGTCAGCCAGTCCGACACCTTTTACCGTTCGGCTATCGACGCTTCATTGTATTACAGCCAAAGGACGTCCATTGCTGGACATAGGGGAGGTCTCAGAAATTCCACAACATTGGTCCTGTGCTGCTGTAGCCAAGTACGCTGCTTCCTCGTATTATTATCTCAGTCAAAGGACGTCCACTACTGATCAAAGACCATGCATTTCTACAATGACCGATCCTGCACTGATTGCAAGTGTTTGACTCGCACGAGATCGTACGCCCTAATCCCTTTTAAATAACATAACAACTAATTCGTATTGATTCAAGCTTACTATGTCCTAACAATATTCGATCAGTCAGAATTTCGTCAGATCCTGACTACACAGGACTTCACAGGAGTTGTAACGGTGGGAACTAAAACGTTATTTTAAGCTCTACAGCATTTTTACACATCCTACATTAAGCCATAATATTTGTCCGCAGACTGACGGAGAGCTTCCAGCGGCAGCCGGCGGCGTTCCAGCAGTACTACTACCACGGCTGGCTCAAGCTCAGGATGGCGCTGTGCAGGTCAGGCAGAAATGTTACCTTTACCTACTAAAGTCCTGTCGCCGAGTAGATAGAATTTCGTCCAGTGACCCCAAGCTACCCATCCTTATTACTCGCACGTAATTATATTCCTGTCGCGACTGTGCGATGGGTGGCCGCAGTGAGTGTGCGTGCGCGAATTTAGTCCTACTAATATTATAAATGCGAAAGTTTGTGTGGATGTCTGGATGTTTGTTACTCTCTTACGCAAAAACTACTGAACGGATTTTGATGAAACTTTACAGTATTATTGTTTATAACCCAGATTAACATATAGGCTATAATTTATGACGATATGTGACAAACTAAATGACATTGGGAACTTTTTGCCCCACTTTTCGAAAAGTAGCGGACACAAACGAAACCTATCACAGATGATACATACTAATATCTAATGAATTTCCGTGCATTTATTTTTTCTCTCTTATATGGGAATATTGAGAAAATGAAGTTTTAATATTTTTTTTTATTTTACATTTAGGTAACATTTTTGACGACCTCCATGGCGGAGAGGCGCACACACCGGTTTTCAAGGTGTGCCGGGCCAATCCTGAGGTCCCGGTTTCGATTTCGAACACAAATGCCTTAGCTACTTATTTTGGGTTGGAGTAATATATGAGATGTTGTCTAATATTAATTTAAGTATTAATAATATTTTATTTATTTATATTATTTTATTTATATTTTTTATTTATTTACTAGCTTTCCGCCCGCGGCTTCGCCCGCGTGGAATTTTGTCTGTCACAGAAAAACTTTATCGCGCGCGTCCCTGTTTCAAAAACCGGGATAAAAACTATCCTATGTTCCTTCCCGGGACTCAAACTATCTGTATGCCAAATTTCATCAAAATCGGTTGCGAGGTTTAAGCGGGAAAGCGTAANCCTACACAACACGTCTCGAAAGTGCACGACTGGCGGGAATTCCGGACCGGCTTAATTTAGTGACCGATAATTAAACCCCCCCACCCCCCACTGGACCTCCGAACATGCTGAGACGTGTATTTTTGTCTAATAAGAGGACTGGAGGGTGGCGGGCACAGAGTATGTGACGCAGATGGGTGAGAAGCTTTTTGGGCAAAGACTAAGGAGTTTTTTGTAGCCGAGCCAGTCGAGTTTAACATCTCATTACAGTGTGAATTAATATCTCGTGAACGGAACAAAATTCGTACTTATTTTCGACAAACTTTTGTATTTATTGAAAGCAAAACGTTATACGACTTGATTATACACCGAAATTTACATCCTACTCGTATATCTGTAAGATATTTTCAGTTTTGTATTTTTGTGAAAACTAATAGACATAGACAGTTCTATAAAAACGATATTGACAAAAACGCGTCCATTGTATTCAGATGACGTTTGATTTTAAATATTCACTTTTAGTCCGTTTAAAATAGCATTCCATGTGTCAATCACCATTAAAATCTGTGGCAAGCAAAAAATATTTATGAATGCAATCAGCCGTCATAGGCTCGATTGACCCATCGCTGAAAACAGTTTTCTGCTTTTATTTATTTTTGAAAAAATACCACGTCTCGTACCCACCCTATCAGGGGCAATTAAAATGGAACATGCCAGTTTTTCAGTGACCCTGTATTGTGTGAAATGAGGGAGCGACTATTTGAAGAGTAGAAATCCATTGCTGTTTTGACATTGTGGTTTGCGAGTTACGGCTACAAAAATGGGGCATGGATTGGATAATGTGAAATAAAATTTATTACTGGACAGAACATTGTAGTGTAGTGCACTATTTACACCGCGCCTTACAGATTTTTTTATTTTATTTTTCGGTTACACAAAGCACATAGTAATTACTGGAATATCTCTTGTAAATAAACTATGGCAAGCATAGGATTTAGCTAATACGAACTTCGTTGATCATAAAACGTACTAAATGTAATTTTATTAAATTACCTACACGTATTTATTCAAAACTTTACTACAATAATAAAATAAGGTACAAAGTGGGATAGAGATCTGGATAACATTCGAAATACTTACAGGTATATCATAGACCATGTTATGTAGATAAACTAAGAAGCCCATTGGAAACGAATGTTAAAATAATCACACATAGTTTTGATGATATTAAAATACTAACCCTTATTATTTCGAATGCTCACAGTCAGCATTACGATACGGTGTAAGTGGCAGCCAGTCTGCACATCGACGTGATTGTCATTGTTAATGCCGGAAAAATGTTTCGACGCGGCGGTTTAGACATGACAGACTCGGCACGCGATTTCATACAAAAAGTACGGCTGTATGATGAAATACGTAGCTGTATTGAAAATCGGCAAGCATTACAATTAACACTTTTCGGTTGTTAGTACTTTGTGACTTGCAGCATCAAAGTCCTTTTTTTACGTAACAATTTTTTTTATGCATAACAAGGCAGATATTTGACCACATTGCACCTAATGTTAAGTTTGATGCAGTCTAGGATGGTATATATCTGCCCTGTAAGTGCCTATTCACTCTCGCCTTGAAAACGCCCGGATTATAGTCTTCGGGAAAGACAGCAGCAGGCAACGAATTTGTTACTAGATGGCGCTGAGATTGTGATAATTAATATGCTTAAATACAACGTAGGTAAGTAGCTAAACTTGGAATAAATTGAAAGTGTAGTTTTTTGATGAAGAACATATAGGTATAGTCTAAAAATAAATAACATGCGGCTAATAAAGTAAAAACATAGTTATTAATAGTAGAGACACTAATTATTATCTAGACCGGACCGTGTCGCGGTCATCAAAACCACATTTCGCCTAAACAATACAATAACGCGAAAATGTAATTAGAAATGTGACGTATTAATTAATTTTAATGAGTACACAAACTTTTAGTCCGCCAGCCCGAAGCTACGGTGTTTTTGAACGCGTTTAATATATTACTATGTGCACCCGATTGCGACATGTTTCAGCTAGCATTTCGTTAAATGTAAATATAAATTATTGTGACAATAATTTATTTATTGGGCTCTCTGTGCTTATGGTGTTTTATATGTATGGAGGAGGTGCTCAGTTTGGTTGGTATGATATTTTTAAATAAATGTTAGTGTTGAATGTACCTATTTAAAAATATTATAGCATATTTTACTGAAAGGTAGACAGAATATACTAAGCACTCTAGATTTCTGTAGTATTGGTTCAAGATAACCAATTAAAACCTTCCACTATCGGGAGTAAAGTCTTTACCTTTTGAAAAATAGGCGTATTTTAATATGGCTCATAGAACCCCTTTCTTGGCAATATACTCGTACATATCGCACCCTTAATAATATAGGGGCACAACTCAAAATTTTTGGTTTTTTACTTTTTGTACTAGAGAGGCACATTTTCGTAAGTTCTACAAGATGGCTTTCACAGAAATCGAAAACAATGATCAGATATAAGAGTTCTACATTTTGTGCCCCTTCCATACTTTCGTCTATCTTTCCGCTAGAAGGGCTGAATCAGAGACATGCCGATATTTGTCGAATCCGGCCCGCGCGACTGTGGTCCAATTTGGAGTTGTGCCTTTGTGTGACAAACTTTTAAGTAAGTGTTAGTGAGCTAAGACTAATTAATTCCTTATATTTCTAATAATATGTTACATTTTCATTTTTATTACATTGATAAAGTCCCGTTAATCATAGAAAATTATAAAATATAACTTTAACTTTAGTTAGGCGGACCATGGATGGGTGTTTGTAGTTAAATTTACAAGTCTCCTATAAAAGTAATTTGCTTCTTGGTATTAATTTTCATAACTAGCTTTCCGCCCGCGGCTTCGCCCGCGTGGATTTTTGTCTGTCACAGAAAAACTTTATCGCGCGCGTCCCTGTTTCAAAAACCGGGATAAAAACTATCCTATGTTCCTTCCCGGGACTCAAACTATCTGTATGCCAAATTTCATCAAAATCGGTTGCGAGGTTTAAGCGGGAAAGCGTAACAGACAGACAGACAGAGTTACTTTCGCATTTATAATATTAGTTGGGATATTATTTTATTTACTTTTATTGGTTACTCTGTAATGCCAAACAACATAACATGTAAAAATATCAAATCATTTTAGACAAATATATTTTCAACTTAGACTCGTCATATCTCAGAATTCCCATATCTCACAACATAGCGCTTTAAGTGAATATACCTACAAGTATAAAGCTTTGAAATAAAATACGTTTCATTTTTGTCCGCCCTGGGGCATTTTCTCATATTAAAGTTCCCAACGTACGAAGTCGCGGGCGGCCGCTAGTTAAAACATAATTTATTGTTCTATGAATTAAAATTCAAAGGAGTAGCGTTGCATAGTTAGAATGGGACTATTCCCACCTCTCGTTCCCACCGCTGCAACTCCTGTGTAGCCAAGATCTACAGTTTGACCGCCAATAGAAACCCAACCAGTGAAGGTCAAGTTTGTCCCGGAGGAAAGTTTTCAGGCTGCGTAAAGCGTTACGTAAAGCGCAACTCAAATGTAGTCCGACACTTGACTTAGTTTCTTTCTACCAAAGCGGAGAGGAGGAAAGGTGTGTCAAAAATCAATCAAATTACCGAAGCTGAACTGGGAAATGATATAAAAATGTCATCGTGAAATTGTGAATTCCGTCAGTTTATAATTTAACGCGTGAGATTGTAAACTAAAAGTGTGCTAGGTTAGATTAGATTGTAATGTAACTAACTACGTCAGATTATAGTCTGGGATTTCATACACATCTCCGCCCCACTTTGGTAGAAACTTGGCCTTAAAGTGCATTTTTAAAGCCAATTTTTGAGAAACAATAAACTTAACGTACTACGTATCCCCCCAGGATGTCATCCGCGCTGTCCAACAGCGGCACCTGGCTGGCGTGCTGCGTCATGCTGCACGCGGCCTGGGCCTGCGCCGGCGCCGCCTACCGCCCGCCCGACGACAAGCTGTGCGACGCGCACGACCAGGTAGCCTTGTGTGCTTGTGATACGGTCGGTTGTGCGACGGATGTGTACTGGATTATGTGCTGTAAAGTCTGGTCGCCGAGCAGATAGAATTTCGTACAATGACCCCAAGCTACCCATCCTTATCGCTAGCGCGTAATTATATTGCTGTCGCAACTGCGACGGGCGCCCGCAGTGAGTGTGCGAGCGCGACATCGTAGCTTGGGGTCATTGTACGAAATTCTATCTGCTCGGCGACCGGACTTTAGGCTGTAATAATAAATAGGAGGATTGATCACTTGACTGCCAGGATCATTACGAGTTGGTAGTCCTTGTGCGCTTGTAATACGGTCTATTTTGCAGCGAATGTGTACTGGATTCCGGTACGTGGCCTCCACTCCAGGACCTTACTGCTCCATCGGTCGTCAGTTCTTCGTACTATGTGCTCCGCCCATTGCCACTTCAGCTTGCAAACTAATACGTCAGACGTCCATCCGCAAGGTGGACCGACGACCTCATAAGGGTAGCAGGAAGGCGCTGGATGCAGGCCGCTACCAACCAGGCGATGTGGAAATTATTTGGGGGAGGCCTTTGTTCAGCAGTGGACGTCCTGTGGCTGAAATGATGATGATGATTAAACCCAAGAAACCACATTGAGAAACTTGTTTCCATTGCTTGCTTAAGTGAAGCAGCAAATCGAACGCACAGCGTTAAATAGAGCTCTGATTGGTTCGTGTGTCACCCTGTGCATCCTCGCGCACTGTGTGACCTCATAGTAATGTTTGTGAATACGGGCGTTAACTATGCAGTCGTTAAAACTTGACTTCACTAACAAAATATTGTCCACAGACCCTCATAGCGTTAGAAGCGAAGCCAGAATCAATGGGCGACGTGTCAGCGCTTCAAGCGCTAAGGCGGCCGCTGCAGCGAGCGCTGGATATAGCGCTGACCGCGCTGCTTGCGCTCAACCAGCACCAGGGCGGCCCGCAGCACGGGTGAGTGGTTGTAGTTCGGGGAGGAAGCGAGAGATGGCGTTAAACTTTGGCGTTTAGATAGGGCAAACAAAATGATGACTGATTGGCAATTTCATGGTTTTTTCTTTTGTAAGGTAGGGACCAAAAGATAAGGAGACATGTAAAGTTCCCCTTAAGGACTACCTTTTTTTTTATCCGACTGCGCCAGAAGGAGGGTTATTTACTGTATTTGACGTTCATAATTGCCACCAGTGGTCAAAATTGAATAAAATATTTTTGATTTCGATTTTTGTAAAAGTTTATAAATAGTTTGTTTCCAAACTGTTTCCAATGACCTGTGTGCTTAGCGCGAGTTTACATCAAACGTCATCACTTGCGACTGCTTAAAAAATGAGATGAAGTGTATGACATACTGACAGGATACTTTCAAGAACTAAAATCTTCATAGATTTACACACACACGCACACACACACACACACACGCACGCAAGCACACATATACACACACACACACGCAAGCACACAGATACACACACACACACACACACACGCAAGCGCACACACACACACCAAACACAACCAATATGTGGTGATTTTGTTACTCTTTGGATATGATAAAAATGTTACTCAATGTTAATTTGTTAAGGGAGAGCGACTCCTTCTGGCACAGGTGCCATTGCACTTACAAGAAAGAGTCCACCTCAAATCCTATTAATTGTTGTTGTTAACGAAATAAATATTTTTCATTTTCATTTTGTTTGTCGTACTCGCTAGCGAAATATTCGAGTTTTCAATATTTTGTTTCATAGGTAATTTGTAACACACTGAGATAAAAATCCCCAACAACTTCGTTCGTTCGTTTCAGCCAAATGACGTCCACTTTAACCTGACTTTGTATTATAATTCTATAGTCAGGTCCGTGAGCACGTAGAATTTTGTCCAATGACCCCAAGCTACCCATCCTTATTGCTCGCGCGTAATTATGTTGCTATCGCACTCGTACACTCACTGCGGGTGCCAGTCGCACAGTCGCGACAGCAATATAATTACGCGCGAGCGATAAGGATGGGTAGCTAGGGGTCATTGGACAAAATTCTACGTGCTCACGGTCCGGGCTTTATTGGATTTTACCAACAGCTACGACATCCTAAGCGACCCGACAGCAGTTTCCTTACTCCGCAAGCTGGTGGTGATGGCACGGGCCAGCGGCCGCGGCGGCGACGCGCTCAGCCGCCCGCTGGCCCGCCTGCACGCCGCCGGGCCCAAGCACGACCTGCTGCAAGGTAATACCAGGCCTGTTCATCTCCGCGAGTTTACATCGAAAACAAAACACGCACGATGGCCCACCTACAGGATACTATTCGACAAGGCCTCACATACGAGCGAACATTGACTCACGCACGCGTATTCTTGTGTATGATGGAAGAAAATAAAGAAAATGGTGTACTAAATACTGTGCGGTATTTAACTGCCTAAATAATAATAAAAACACAGAATGTACTTTTTTAAGTTGCCTCAAGACACTGAGAGGTAAATAAGTAGTTAATATTATTCATGATAATTCATGCTAAATCATGTATTTCCTCCGCCATTTTCCGCAGTTTGGCACCTCACGTCACATCATTTTACCGAAGTCAGCCCTATAGCTTCGGCGCAGTGCCGATCACTGACGTTTGTCAACAAAATGGTGCTTGACTCTTGAGACAGGCTAAATTACACCATATTGTAAATGACATTGAGCATACATTTTTTTAAATACCTTCGCGAAGTAAAACTTCTGTACATAGTACTTATTATTATTCTGTGCTAATATTATAAATGCGAAAGTTTGTATGAATGTCTGGATGTCAACATGTTTGTTACTCTTTCACTCAAATACTACTGAACGGATTTTGATGAAACTTTACAGTATTATTGTTTATAACCCAGAATAACATATAGGCTAAAATTTATGACAGTCCGTGACAAACGAAATTTCACGCGGGTGAAGCCGCGGGCAAAAGTTAGTACAGTCTTAAACACATCATACAAAATATAGTTTTAAACCTTATATTATCCCAATAAAGTTCAAAACATGGTGGCGACAATTAGTCACTACCAAGTGACCAAGTAAAGGACCATCATGCGTACCTACCTCAGAAACAATTTGTTACGTTCATTTTATTAATTAACCCGTTCGTCGCCAGAGGAGTGGCTGAGCCTCAACGCGCAGATGACGGCGCCGCGCGTGTGGGAGGCGCTCCCGAGGTGCAGCGTGTCCGCGCCGCACGAGAAACCATACCCTTTATACGTAAGTTTATTTTGCTTTTATAATATTACAGAATTTGTTCATCGTCAGGCTATTTTTAGCCTAGGCGCAGACCATCGGTTTTTCGTCGGCCGATAGTTTAGTCGAGCAGTCAAAACGACCACTGAAAACCAGCGTCGTGGTGCTAAGTACTGCGGCATTATACTGAGTTATAAGGCGGAAGCCTATTTAGTATAACATTTAAATTATTATTTTTAACGTATTCATTTCTGTAATTTGTTGTTCTAGTGTACGAAATAAAATAAATGTATTTACTTTCTTTCTTTCTAATTAGTATGGGCATGTATGGAAGTGCGCACATTACGCCGATTTGATTTGGCCGATTCTTCAAACAAATTAAAATCGGGCCCAACTGTCGGCTAACTAAAAATCGGTGGTCTGCGCCTAGTGTTACGCTCGTATTCACAAACGGTACTTGCTTAAGTGAAGCAGCAAATCGAACGCACAGCGTTGAATAGAGCTCTGTGATTGGTTCGTGTGTCACCATGTGCGTCCACGAGCACTGTGAGACCTCATAGTAATGTTTGTGAATACGGACGTTAGTCTCTACAGGAGAACAACGCTTTTTAATTTACCAGAGGCAAAAGGTAGCAAGGATACTTGCAATGACTCAAGTATGATGGCACTCAGAGTGGCCAAAAAGGTCTGTCTACTAATGCTATAGGTTTCTTCAGTTCAGTCACATAAAATAAAATAAAAATTATAAACAAAATAATGATCCTTTTTAGGGTTAAAACTAGTCCCAACTCCCACCCAAATGAGCACATTTTATTGATTACCTACATTTGCAAGGTTATAGAAATGTCATTCGTATCTCCCGCCTGCGAGCTCCCGCTAACCAATATAATACGCCAATACATCTGTCACATTCTTGATTTTAGTGATGTGCATGTTTCCGATTATGATTATTCAATCGATAAAATATTTAAGTTAACAGATTTTTTCTAAAACATAAAAGTCTAATTTACAACGATTATTTTACAGTTGGAGTACGGTGTAGAGCCTGAAGCGCTACGGTATTCACCTGAGCCCAATTTTACGTATTGTGAAACGACACCAAATCTCGTAGCTATGGATTCTATAAGGTTTGTATAGTAGTGCTTAGTGATGTTTCCTAATTTAATAAATGTGGGAGTGTGAAACGGAACGCAAGGGAGTGAGTGAGACGGAATGAATGAGTGAGGAAGTAAGAACGAGGGGATTTAAACAGAAGACGATTAGTATTAAGACGGTTCTAAGACGTTCCTATTTTTTGTGGTTTATCCTGGAGTAAATACAAATAAAGCTGAAGAAATACAACCTGGGTTTCAATTCCTACAGCTTGGGGGCTCGTCCGGGATAGCCCAAGAAAAGGAAACACGACGATTCACGACGATTACGACGGATTGAGACGTGAGACGTATTTTCATCAATCATGAGACGACGACATAGTAAGCATGATTTCGAAGATGCGGAAGATGCTGGCCCGAGCAAGACCCTGGAGCAGCGCATACCTACTACTTTTGCCTATGCCGAGGAGCTGATCCCAAAATTTAGTGGTCGAGATCAAACTGTCACCGCATCAAGATGGGTCCAAGAGGTAGAGGAGAACGCTGAGATCTTTGGTTGGTCACCATTACACCAACTCATTGTGGGACGCAGATCACTCATTGGAACAGCGGCACTCTGGTTGCGGTCGGAGAAGCCATTCAGGTCGTGGGACGAGTTCAAAACTGGCTTACTCAAAGAGTTCCCGGATTCGTTAGACGTAAAGACAGTCCACGAAATGATGAGTGCGAGAAAGAAGGCCAATAGTGAGAGCTGTACTGATTACCTACTTGTCATGAAGGAGTTGGGAAGGCGCGGGAAAATGCCCGACTACGTCGCAATAAAATATATCATAGACGGCATTGTTGACGTAGAAACCAATAAAATCATGCTGTACGGTGCAACTACATACGGTGAGCTGAAAGAGAAACTGAAAGTATACGAGACAGTAAAGGCGAAAATGGTGGATGAACGACGTAGACCCTCCAGTAGCAGCACGACGGCACCGGTAAATTACAATAAGACGACAAGACCAAGATGTTTTAACTGTGGAGGAAGCAACCATATTTCGGCTCAATGTTTTCACAAGGAAAGAGGGGTTAAATGTTTCCGGTGTAATGAGTTTGGACACAGATCTAGTGAATGTTCAAAACCTGCAAATCATCAACAAGTGACCAGTGAAAATTCAAAATGGCAGTCAGACAATCGTCAGCAACGTCATGCCAGTCCGAAACGAGCGATGTTCACGAAAACACCCGAACGATACAGTGTTGCCAACACGACGCAATCAACAACTGACTGGAGATCGAAACCGAACGTAGAACGAAACGCAGAACTGACAGATGACATTTCTGCCAACTTGATGGTATCGGACGTAAACAACAAAAGTGTGAAAACATCGAGGCCGCTAAAAGAAGTTCAATTTGTTGACAACAACGCGATAACTACGGCGAGTCTTATTGATACGGGCAGCGAGGTGAATCTCATGACGGAAGACGTGTACAAAACTATCGGCTCCCCAAAATACGACGACGGAAGATGTTTGACGTTGAGTGGACTCGGACGGACCGAAGTTGTCCCGTTGGAAAAAGATGATCAAGTTGTAGTACACGACATAGACGACTCTAGACACATGACTGAAATTGAGAAAATATTAGAAGACTGCAAGCCTACAGATGAAATAAAGAAAAGTAACGACTGTCAGATTGAACACCGACCTGTATCACGTATGAAACAAGCCGACGTCCTAAGCTGTTTAGTACTTACCGAGACGACTGCACGACTGAAGAAAGCACAAGATGAAGACGAACATATTCAGATGCTGAAAGAATCCTACCAGAATGACATGTTGTACCAAGAAAGAGATGAAGATGAATTATTATTTGTAGTACCGGAGAAGACGCAGAACGAAATTATAAGAGAGAATCACGAGGGAGGGAAAGAAGGACTGTTTAACCGGATTAATAAAGGAGATGATGAACTTGTTAAGATGATAGAAGAGGAAAACGTAGAAAGAATGAACGAGACAAGACCAGAGTTAAGAGAAAAGGCAAGAGAATGTGTGGAGACAATTCAAGATGGAAGTGTTAGAGTTTATAACAAGAAAAGAAAGAAAGCTAGAACATACGAGAAAGATGATTATAAGAATTGTATTAAACAAGATTAGTTATAAGATGCTTTAATGTAAAGTTTTGAAATGAAACAGTCCGAGGGCGGACTGTACGCAGGATGGCCGAGTGTGGGAGTGTGAAACGGAACGCAAGGGAGTGAGTGAGACGGAATGAATGAGTGAGGAAGTAAGAACGAGGGGATTTAAACAGAAGACGATTAGTATTAAGACGGTTCTAAGACGTTCCTATTTTTTGTGGTTTATCCTGGAGTAAATACAAATAAAGCTGAAGAAATACAACCTGGGTTTCAATTCCTACATAAATTATATTTGTAGGTTGTAATATTGTACTGTATTTTTTATTATTCAATTAACTTAGTTTTCGTCTATGACTGCAAATGCATTTATTACACAAACACACTCCTGAAACAGGTTTTAACCTAGCTCAGACTAAAAAGACTATAAATTATGTAAAAGTATAGTATAGCATGAGCCAGGTCCAATTGCCTTCGGTGTACTTTATGTAGTTGTAAAACTCAACTTCCTGTATCATGTTTAATGGTTCGAAGGCAATAAATACATTTTTTTATTTATGAAAAACATTCTTAATTTAATTAATTTACAATTTATTTTATTTATCCGTGTTTCCAGGTACATGTACTTGGGCGGCGGCTGGCGGCCGGCGCGCTGGCGGCAGTGCGGGCGGTGCGGCGCGCGCGCGCTGCCCGCCGCGCAGCCCGCCAGGCACGCGCTGCAGCGGGCGCACGACGCGCGCTTCTTGAAAGCTTGCAGGTATAACCAGGGTTCATTTTATGTACTTAATGTCGCTGCGTGGTTGTCCTAGCATAGAAATCGATCATGATTTAATCACTGTAGCAGAACCTTATCACGATACAATTTAAAATAAAATATTTTTTTATTTTAAATAGTTGGCTTCGCCCGCGTGGAAAATTTCGGTTTTTTTATATAACCTATGACACTCAGCAATAATGTGGCTATCTATTGGTGAGAGAATTTTTAAAATCGGTTCAGTAGATCCCGATATTACCCCTTACAATTTAACAAATATACAAACACACAAACTTTACCTCTTTATAATATTTAGTATAGATGAATGATGAATTACAAAATGATAAATAATGACTATTAAAAACTTTGTTCGACTCACCCATAACAGCATTTATGTATAATATTTATATTTATTCCTTGATATTCTTATTTATTTTAGTGACATTAAATTTATATTTTTTTGTTTCAGATGTGGAGGAAAGTGGTCGTTGTTTTCCAATGTGTAATGAAAGTCTCGTTTTATTTATACAGCAATAAAAATATTATTAATGTTTTTAATGTTTAAGGATAAATGATATTTTGTAAATAAATTTTTAATATTACCAATTAAAAAGTGTCTACTTTATTATTATCCTACCCAAAACAGTTTCACCTTTTAATCATGCCGTACAGAAATGTAAAGGCTGTTGAAAGCATGCCACAAATATTTTTAGCATGTTATCCTTCACAACAAATCAAATTGGGACTGTAAGAAATTGTGTCCTCAAAATATTGTGTGATTTTTAGTGCGTGGTTAAAGTAAAGATAATGGTAACATACGAATCACCTTACACAGATTATTCGGTATTAGCAGGCAATCTGGCATTATTTGCACAATGGCAATGAAATTTATGAATATGCATGATGTTTTTGGTAAATCTTTAGCAATAAATAAATTACCGCCAAACTTCAACACTGGCCATTTTTGTTAATAAAATGTACTTACAAAAATATTTTACTGCAATTTCAATTAAAATTCAATTCAATAGTCGAATAGTATTCGATTATGTAAAAACAAATTTTCGACTGACAGCTCGTCGGTCGTCGTGCCCCCAACACTAGTATGATTGCAAGAATCCAGGGTACGGAAACTTCCATACTACGATCAAACTTGCTTCCAAACAGCGACTTCAGTCGATAAATTCCAATACTTTTTTTTTTCTTTATGGCTCTCGCGGATTGCGTTTAGCCACGACAGGGTTCTTGATTTTTGCGTTCAGTTTTGCCATAAGTTTTGCGGACATTGCGTTTAGACAGGGTGGGATTGGGTTAAAGTTAAAAGGTAGGGAAACGAATCAATTACGTCATAGGATCAATTTAGGTGTGATATAATTACAAAATAATAAAAATAAAATAATATTTACATAAGTACNATTATGAATATACTATCTGAGCGATTCATTAACGTTTCAAGTGGCGAATCGACAAGAACTAGATCAATCTGGCGAGGCTTACCTCAAGGATCAGTTTTAAGTCCTTTATTATTTAATATTTACTCATATGATTTAGAATCATCTTTACATAACAAAGTTAATATTTTACAGTATGCAGACGATCTTGTTATGTATATTACTGGTTCAAACATTCAAAATTTGTGTGAGTCTTTGTCTACCACTCTAAACGTTTTAAAGACATGGCTAGATAAAAATGGCTTAAGTCTGTCAGTAAATAAGAGTTCAATAGTTCTATTCTCCAGGATGCGATGTCCACCGCCTATTTCTGTGTATTATGATAATTCGGCTATACCTGTTCATAATGAGGCTAAGTTTCTAGGTTTAATTCTTGATTCTAAGTTAACTGGTTTACCTCATTTGTACTATATACTAGCTAGGTGTGAAAAGCTTTTGAATATCTTAAGATGCTTATCGGGAGTTTGGTGGGGTGCACATCCTTATAGTCTGAAACTTGTGTATAACGCTATTATTCGAAGTGTTCTAGATTATGGGTCTTTCTTTTTGGAACCTTGTAGCATTGTGGGTTTGCGCAAACTTGACACTGTTCAATCTAAAGCCCTTCGTATTGTCACTGGTGCAATGCGGTCTAGTCCTAATAATGCAGTCCAAATTGAATGTGTTGAGCCTCCCCTTGGTCTTCGAAGGCAATTTTTAAGTGATAAATATCTATTTCGTGCATTTCAATTTCTTAATCATCCTCTCTATTCTAAGTTGCAAGATTTGTCGGAATATGTAGACTCTGTACCTTATTGGACTCATAAAACTCCACCGTGCCTTGTCATAAGTTTTCGTAAATATATTTCTTTACAAGCTCCTAGCCATAGATCTGCATACATGCCTCTGTTCTGCTCCAATTATGAATCCCTAATTCTCTCCCCTGACATTTATTTCGACTTGGATATTCCAAAATATGGTAGTTCTGCATTCCCTACTTTTAACCTTGTTTTAGAATCTAATGGCTGGCATGATTGGCACCATATTTATTGTGACGCTTCGAAACATTCACCTGATGGTAACGTGGGCGTAGGTGTTTTTCATTATCAGTACAAAATAAATCAAAAAAAGATGTTCCCTCCTGAGACGTCAGTATTTACGGGTGAATGCTTTGGTTTATTCAAATCGCTAGAATATATATTACTCATGAAACTTAAAAAGTCCATAATTTTTTCAGACTCAAAAAGTGCATTACAAGCTTTGGCTAAATTCCCTTTTAAAGCTAATATTAATTTTCCAATAATTATTGATAGTAGAATATTACTTAACAAGTGCCGACTGAATGGTTTCCAGGTAATTTTTGCCTGGATCCCATCTCACAGTAATATTCCCGGTAACGAAATAGCAGATAAAATGGCAAATGAAGCAGTGCAGTGTGGAGATATATTCCCATATAAAAACTTCTCTCATGATTTAGCTACCCTTCCTAAATCCTATCTTCGTAAAGCTTGGGAAGGTGAATGGAATAGTAATGACCTGGTTAAAGGAAAGCATTATAAGAGTATACAGCCCAATATCCCGGTTAAACCTTGGTTTTTCAGAACGACGCTCGATAAGACAGCCACCTCTATTCTCATTCGCATGCGGTTAGGACATACATGTACGCCAGCACATTTAGCTAGACTTAAAATCATTGATAGTAATTTATGCGATTGTGGCTCTGAAGTAGGTGATATTAATCACATCCTGTTTTCCTGTCCGAAGTATGATCGCTCACTTTTTATGTCCTCTTTGTTAACCCTCCGTGTCCCTTTTCCCACTTGTATTAATACCCTTTTATGCACAAACAATCAAGATATTTATAAATGTATCTCCTTATACCTATCTAAAAATGATATAAAGGTTTAGTTTTTGTACTTTATACATATATATGTTTTGTATTATATTTTTAATATCTTATTACATCTACCTACCTACCTATATTGATCCTATCCTTTTAAATTTCCGAAATTCCGATATTTCCTACATTTTCGTTTCCCTACCTTTGTCGTGGCAAATGCACATGCCGTGCGAACAAAAAAAAAAAAAAAAAAAAAAAAAAAAAAGTACAGCGAATTTAACACCAGGCTGTCAATTAGTAGGCTCAAAAATTTGACAGAGTGGGTTCTCTATTTCCTATGTATTACTTTTCTCTATGCAAGAATCGTTGTTTATGGTGCGTTGTTTCTTCTGCGACTGCGTTGCATATCCAAAGCGATTTCTTTGTAAAATACGCATCGAGACCATTAGTGCAAACGTTTTAACTAATAATTAAACCGTAGTTTATTAAATGGCAGACAAAAAAGGTATTTATGCGCTTCTATTTTATTAATTTCTTTGTTCTTTCTTACTATTCAATTTGACACATGTAACGTCACATAAGGCTTGGTTTTCCTTATTTTGGGTAGTTTATATCCGTTAAAACTGTAAATTACTTCTTTTTCTTGCAATTTGGGGTCGAAATACATACAATTTGATGTAGGAATGTCGACAAATTGGTGGAAGCAAGGTAGATCGATAATCGTACGTGAATACAAAATGGAGGGTGATCGACATGATTCAATGGCCCAAGAGGAGCTGAATCTGCATGTCTATATTTAGTTTAATTCATTACGAATCCTCGACTGCCCTGAATTAATCTAACTACTATTTACGGGCTTTCTCAGGGATAAAATTAGTACCATACTCTACCTATGACTTGTTATAGTCTATTATCCACATAAGACATGACCAAATGTTAAAAATAGTCTCAATACTTGATGGGGAGTCTTTAAATATTCTTTTGGGCCCTTCCAGAGAGATGTAGGTCAATAATGAAGGATGTGGTACAGTGGGAAATAGGTCACATCTTGACACCTGCGAAGAATTGATTGATTTGCATATCCTGTGTCAACTACCCACTTGATTTACATTACCTATTGAGATAGTGACCATTGTTTGTCTCTAAATCTAAAAACATGTACATTAATATATCCTTCTGTGGATAATTCAGGTTACCTTCTCCAATTTTCTAAAATCAATATTTCTCTTGGGTTTATTCTTATAAGATTTGTTTCATTCATAACTGAATGATGCATTCAAAGTATATTTTGACAATAAACAACCAATTAAAATAAAATAAGTCTGAATATTTTTCCACTGTCTTTATCTTGAGAAATTTTGGAAATATCTTTTCAACTGAAAGATGTCCACTGTTAGACAAAGACTGCCCTCAAGGATTTCCACCACTACAATAGAAACTACCTTAATCAAATTAACTTCTAAACTCAGTTCTCTTTACATAGTTCAATAAATTATCTAATAGACAAATTATGCAAAATAATTGTATTTCCAAAACAGCCTTGGTGATGTTACAAATGTCAAATATTATTCATGAAACTTTGCTTGGTTAGTCAATAAATAAAATTATTCTGACGAGTTGTAAATCGAAGGCAATTAACATAGTAATGAAACGTATTTCACAAACATGTTGCTTTACTGTACGACAATTTTTTTACTGTATATTACAAAAGTAGAATCTTTACGATTAAAATCCAAGTAGACAAGAAAAATTTACACTCGTTCAGAATTCTACAAGAGGATTGGCTTAAAATTGACAATCCGATCTTAAATCACTCCTCTTTAGTGCAATATCACCGACACGGTCACAAATAAAGGTGTCACAAACGGTGAAGATCCAATATACATGCTAAAACATAATCTCTAAATCTAATTAAAACACACATGATGAAGATACAACGACTACAATTGAGTATCTTTGTCATATGTGACATTGCCCGGCGCTGGCCGGTGACGGTCCACGATGAGTTGAGACTTGATGATAATATGGCTCCCGTAATCCTCCCCCTAGCTGCTGCCCTTTCGACAGGTGCCGAGCGGCCTCCAGAGTCTGGGACGACAACTAGTACAGTTCATGTAATGATTATCATATAGAACTTTTTCTTTCTTTATTTTTTTCTTTTTGAGAACATAGTTAAAGAGAGACAATATGATATGTGCGTATCGGCGAGTGGACGATCGTATGTGTTATTAATTCAATTGTAACCCCGTAAGTGGAGGTCTGACTGCTATTTTTCTTTATTACGTCCCTAAATTTTGTCATGTCACTCACTTCACATTCACCAACTTATTGTCAAATCACTTTTTTCTTTTTAACACTTATTACACTTGACTACATGTTTTAAGGTTAATTTTACAAATTACAAAAATAACATGTTTTTTGTGTAGTTTATTAAAACATTTTACTGTTCATCAAAATGAAACAGTAAAAAACATAATATAATTTCAAAAAGTAACAGTCAGACTTTCAGTATACTTTTCGTAAAACCGATAAGTTTGTATGTTAAATGGAGATAATTTATTTTGATTTTTTTTCTATTAAAATAAAACGTCAAAAAAAATATATCCAATAGGACTGTATTGTCATTGAAGCTAAATGGTTGGCTGTACAGTAGATGTTTTTTGCTTGAAGTTATTTGTATAGTGTAAGAAAGTCCTTTTGGATATAATAATATAACCATAGAAACTTATCGGTGAAATTAGCTAACACTTTAATTAAAAAAATAAGTTGTTTTAAGCATCTGAGTTCTGTTTATTGTTAAAAAAGTAAAAAATATAACTGTTTTAACCTATAGAAATATGATAATGATAAGTTGAACCAGTTTAAAACGAGCACACTGCATATCTTAAAAATGAATTAAAAATAAACAGGACTCAAAAAAAAATTAAACTTGATGTTTTTTGAAGGCTACGTTTTCTTTTTTCAAAATTTAAGTTCACAGCTTATTTTTTTAACTGTTTTTTTCTTTTAACACTTAATTTTATGAGACAACAATGACCAGTGACTATTAAACCAAATTAAAATACGTGTTTCGTGTGGGTACGGTCATTTTTGTTCTGCTAGCAATTTCATTGCACCTAATTTTGATATTGACGCAAAAATGTCAAATAAATTAGTATCATTCTCAATCATATTCTTGCCTCATTATCAGAATCCCTTAACTGAGAGGGTCGTATTTTGTTTTGAGTTTTTTTGTTTTTCATACTTAGTGTAAGCTAACATTTTAGAACTAATTTATTAAATGAAAATATGTCAATTTATCTAGCCGTTTTTTTAAGTAGAGAACTAAGGCTGACATATTTTCATTTGAAAAAAAAATCTTAAGTATTTTTGATGATATCTTAAGGTTTTTTGAAGCACAAAATATAAATAGTTCATAATTTTGTGCTTAGGTTCAACTTTTTCAAAGTGTGTCTAAAAGACATCTAATGATGTACATATTAATACAACAAAGATAAGAAGTTAATAAGTTTAATTTACCATTGCTTCTATTGCTTTTTTTTAGCAAAAAGTTGAACCTCTTAACTATAAGATTGTGTGTTTTATACTAACCAATGGAAACAAATCAATAGTTTTTGATAAAATGGCCGAAAAAAATATTGGTTTGATTTCATTGTTCTCAAAAATTGATTTTTTAATCAGTTTTTGTGGACATTTTATTCATAAGTATGGTGACGGTGAAATTGGCACTACTAAATTAAAAATTACACAGAATACCAAATGATTACTGAAATTAGTGCCAATTTGCAATTTATATGTTTAATTACACTGTTTAAATGTAAGATTAACATAAACTATTTGTATATTATTAAAATATTTAATAGTATGCAGATACAATTTTGACCACCCTTTTTTAGTTTGATAATTTTACTTTTACTTTTAATAATTTATTAAAAAGGTTGGTCAATGCGGATTGTTAAAATGTTAACAGGAATGACACCAAATGTTAGTGCGTGTGTGATTAGAATAAGGTTTCAGACTGAAATTATGAGTTTATTAACAAATTGCTAAATGACATACATTTTTGTCTACTATTATGATGTACCTTAAAGGGCTGTCTCTAAGTTCAGAAGAAGATAATCATATCATAATTTTCGGTCTGAAAGTCTATGACCATTTACTGATAGTCATAGACAATGCATGCAATCAGCTTAATGAAGGACAGGGAAGTATGTCAGTTGAATGGTCCGGACTTGAGTCTATGGTACATGATACCCACAAAGACAATTTTAACACCTTTTTCTAGGGTCCACCTCACACATTACAATTTTTATGTCATTCTTTTTGGATTTTTTTGGTCCAGATTATTTTACAGGGTTCCTGATTTTTGGTCACCCAACCGATAATATTTGATAAAATGCGTAATTTTCCGGATTTGTTTTTGTATTTTAAAATATGTTAACAAATCCGCGCTTCTGCCATTAAAGGAATAAGCTTAGATATTTATGTCGACCATATTGAAAAGAATGCCATTTGATAATTAATAATTGTGGCGTCTTTTTGGTAGTGGATTATTTACTAGTCATCATTACTGTGTTGGAAGAGGGGTTGTTACCAGGATTTTTGTGATTCTAACGTGGATATTGTTTTCATAAAAGTTTTGCTGTTCGTAGCAGCTGATTTTGTTTTTGTTGTCGAGCATGACCATGTTTTCTCGCTTAGATACTGTTTTGTTTGTTATGTAGTGTAGTGTAGTTAAGTTGAGTTTAAGGCATGCGGTTTATTTTTGTTGTGTTGTTCAATTTGCATGTTTCTATGTCCTTCCACGCACTCATCATAGTTTTGTTTTTTTTCTGCTTCGTGCATAAATGCTTGGAAACAGCAAAATGATATGAAAATGTCTTCGAGTAAATGTTATCGAAAATCTTGGTACAGTGCTAGTTAGTTACTTGAATAGATTTATATAATGTTTTCTTTTTCAAGGAATGTTCACAAGATGTATCCACGTTTTTATTGGACGCCTTTCATGGAGCCCGTTCATGACTTTGAAATTTGGAACGCTACAAATTTTTTTTGGCAGAACTTTAACAATGAAATTAATATGTGTGCTAAAACAGAACTTTGCCAAAATTCATAGTCGTTACTATAATAAATAAAATAATAAATGTCTTTTTTACAAAGGTCCTTCGTGTGATGACTGTTTTGTTAATTAAGATTTTTTTACATCAAAAAATTATATTCAGAAATCAAAATGGTCACACTTTCTCATGTACACTGCACTTAATATAAATTAGCTGATTATATGGAAAAGTTTTATCTTTTTCATATGGTCAGCGTCTAGTTAGTGTGACCATTGAGGAATGCATTGTAAATAACGTTTGGTAGGACACACATGTGTTGAGACGTTGATTTAACCTACCAAATCATTGTAAAATCGCTTCGGGAGGAAAAAGAGAAAAGAAAAAAATATTTTTTGATTATTTTTCTTTTTTTTACCGAACGTGAGTCACTTCACTGTTGAGATTTTTTCAAAAAGTTTTTTTTTTTCGTTACTTTTTGGGGGAATCTCATGCTAGTGGCAAATGTAACGCGTTGTATGGGCATCGCTTGTCGTTAACACTGACGTCAGTGAAAAAAAGCGTTAATGAATCATTTTTTTTATCAAGAAAAAAAAAAAGATTTTTTAAATATTGTTGTTGTGATTTCATTCGCGCTCAGACTGTTCTAAATTATGTTGCCGTGTTTGATGATTGGTATTTTTTTGCAAAAAAATTTTACCAGAAATATCGGTGACATGGTCTGGTACAGTCGAACCGCTGCGTCAAGCGTGAATGCTCGGGCTTGGGTTGCGGAATTGCCGCGGCTGACTGTACACCGTCCGTCTGACATTGTTGGTTCAACAACAAACGATTTTTGATACCAGTGCCGGGTGTCGAGAAGTATTTTTCGAGACTGAGCGATTTTCTTATTAATTTAATATTAGTGTTGTATTAACCGACGAAGCTATGAAATTCTTTTAGATAGACATTGTAATTTTAATTCAAAGGTAGATAGAATTTGATATTACTATAGTTACGTATGTAGAGTGCTTTCTTCCTAAATAGTTCCAAAAATAAATTCGGAAGCATTTAATTTGACTTTCGGTCCCTATCCAAATAACTCCGCGTCAAACGCTCAGTCTCGCCTCGACGCTCGGCGGTGTCGGACGTGCGGTGGTCGCGCGGCGGAGATCGCTGCACTTCTGTCGCTCACGGGTCGAGTTGTTGCAGTCACACCGCCGCTCGGCGCCTACCCCCAACCCCAGCCGCCCCAGGGGCCATTCCTGCCGGCGCCACCGCACCAGGCTGCGCCTCAGTATGGAGGTAAGTTCATAAATTATAAGACTCCCCGAACTGCCCCGAAGACACACTTTTTGTCGGATATTACTGATAGTTTGGTCAACTTCTAATTTGTTATCTGCAACTTTATAATATGTTCATACTGTAGGCCTAAGATGCGCGCCGTGATAACTTTTAACGGCGTCAAAATGTATGGGCAAAATCGATAAAATGGCGTGATAAACGCTTATCGCGGCGCGCATCTTAGGTCTACTGATTTAGGCTGCGTTTCCACCAAAGCTGTGCGAGGATGCGTTGCCTTCTACTTCCAAACTCCGTCTATGGACTTGCTGATACAGTATGCGCAAACCTCGCAACATGTTCCTCGCACACATCCCTCACTTGTTGTTTTGTATGCGCAAAAATCTAGCTCTGCTAAATCGTTTCCACCAAAGCTGTGCTGACCCAGGCGAGGTAAATAAAGCGATTCTAATGGTTGTTTACAAACACATCCCTCGCTCTCGCTACGCATCCTCGCACATCTCTGGTGGAAACGCAGCCTTACAGCCCGACAAAATTATTTCCTGCGACTTGTTAATTTGTTTTTGTGTAATGAATGTGTGTGTTCGTAGTTTGTTATCGAGAACAAGACCTTGAAAAAGGACATTAGGCTACTTTTTGTAGCAAAACTAAAAAGAAACAATTTGAAATTAAAAAGGGGTGAAAGAATTTGTTTTTAGGAAGTTATTCATCATGTTTGATGATAATGAAAACGATCATGCATTTGGTGATTACAAGGCAGGTGTTTTTGGGGAGATACACGCACGAAAAACTAGTTTGACAAACCGAAATTCACGAGGGCTAAGCCGCGGGCAAAAGCTAGTACATTATAATAAAAGACCAAAGCATGTTCAGATGCGACAAACGCCTAAAAACAGCGGATATGTCGGCACGTGCAAATCTTGTAACTGATCCGCGACGCACTGCGCGGGCGGGGTCAAGGCAGTCGCGACCGGTTCCGACGCTCGGTTAGGGTCACTATCGTCTGTAGGCGTTCGAGTGAGAGTGCATTATGCAGCTAGTTAGACAGACTAACATTTATGATGGTGACAGATTTAATTTAGCGATCGCGTCATGGAGAGTAGCAGTTGCGTACAAAAAAGTAGCGAAGTGGTTACGCAATTAAAACTTACGAATGTTGCTTTGTCAAAAGGTGTATGTGATAGGACTGCTGTCTGACGGTTAATACGAATTGTTATTTCCGGTGTTAACACCGGTTAATCTCTAGGGATACTAGGTATTCTTTTCTTGTTCACGCCTAACCTAAAACACTTATCCAATTTTGATTTATATGATAAATTGGGACTTGGCAACTTTAAAAAAAATCTTTAGGGGTAATAGTGTTTTTAAACGGACACGATGGCGTCAAAGCCTTTATGTAATGGACCGTAAGCAAGTGCTATTGCAAACCCTTAAACCTTGTCTCCACTTGAGCATGCTGAGGCAAATGAGCGGCTCATTTGGCCATGCTCAAGTGGACAAGGCTTTATGTAACGCAATCCCCCCGCAGTGGCAGGCGGGTCTCCGTACGGCGTGACCTTCGGCGGCGCGGGCGCGGGAGCCGGCGGAATGTACGCACCGCCACCCTACGACCAGCTGCAGCACCACCAGGCCATCCCGGCGCTCAGCCAGCAGCTGCCGGTGAGTGTATAACTTGTCCCAGCCCCAAACAGAGGTCTACGGAGTGACGTGTGGATCCAGCGATAAAGATACTCAGCAGCTGCCGGTGAGTGTATAACTTGTCCCAGCCCCAAACAGAGGTCTGCGGAGTGACGTGTGGAACCAGCGCTCAAGATACTCAGCAGCTGCCGGTGAGTGTATAACTTGTCCCTGCCCAAACAGAGGTCTACAGAGTGACGTGTGGACCCAGCGCTCAAGATACTCAGCAGCTGCCGGTGAGTCCTCGTCTCCCTGGCAGGCCTGGCTCTGTGTGCCAAGTGACTGGCCCCTATCTCTCTTCACGGTGAGTGGCCGGCATGACTTGCAGCACCACCAGGCCATCCCGGCGCTGAGCCAGCAGCTGCCGGTGAGTTTATATCCCTCCCTCCTCCTCAAACCCCCCACAGAGGGAGCTGGCGTGACTTTTAGCATCACCAGCACATCCCAGCGCTCTAGACACCTCTCAGCAGCGACGGTGATTGGACCGGAGCTCCGTGCGGTTCCCCAGTGGCATATATTCCTCCCCTCTCTCACTACTTCCTCACAGAGAGGTGGCCGACGTCACTACGGCACGATTAGGCCAGCTTGCCGCTTATCCAGCGGCTGCTGGTGAGTGTGTATCCCTCCCCCCTCCAACTGCCCCACACAGAGGTCTACGGTGTGACGTGTGGATCTAGCGATAAAGATACTCAGCAGCTGCCGGTAAGTCCTCGTCTCCTTGGCAGGCCTGGCTCTGTGCCAAGTGACGGGCCCCTGTCTCCCTTCACAGAGGTGGCTGGCATGACTTGCGGCACTACCAGGCTATCCCTGTGCTAGCCAGTAGCTGTCAGTGAGTGTATGTAAGAGCGCTTTCACATTTAGGCGATTTAGCAGCGCGACAAACGCGCTGCCGAAAATTTAATACTATGTGACAGCTGATGCCCCCCTTCACATTACAAAAACGCCGCTGCCGCGCTTCTAACGCCCTAATGTGAAAGCGCTCTTATCTTTTCCCCTGCCCCCAAAGAGGGACAGAGGTCTACGGTGTGACGTGTGGAGCCAGCGCTCAAGCTTCTCAGTAGGTGGCTCTCACTCAGATGCGGACAGGGTTAGCTGGCACCACCACTTGGTCCCAGGGGAATGGCAAAGCCATCCAAAGACCACCCTACAATGTTGAGCAAGTCTGTATAGTATATCATTGGCGCAATTAAATCGGGAAACTCTTAAGCTTTTTCATGAATGTTTGAAACTGCATCGCGGCATGCAATGTGACCAGTTTCTTCATCAAGAGTATCTTGGTGTGTATTCAGCCGAGTGTATCGAACCAGTTCATTAGTGGTGTGTCCTTTCCGGTGCCTGGCGATCGCCAATGTACAACTATACCTGTAGGTAATAACGTTCATGCATGACGAATGTTTTCATGATCGCTCGGCTACATCAGAAATATAATGCAGTAGATAAAAATTGAATCCACCAAGGGACTTGGTTAATAGGTCAAGAAGCTGTTAAAGTCTTTGGACCGATGAGCTGGTAAAGGTCTTAAAGCGCAGGACTAGTGTTTTCAGAAATTCTTGGAGGAGTCCTTTCTCCAGCAGTGCCTTACCTCCTCCTTTGTTCTTCTGTTTAATTTCGTTGCGGGTCGAATGACAGTTTAACTTTCCCCCGGGACAAACTTGACCTTCATTGGTTGGGTTTTTATGGCGGTCAAGCTGTAGATCCTGGAACGAGAGGTGGGAATAGTCCCGTTTGTCCAGCAGTGCACCTCTTAGCTAAGGACCCATGTTAATATTAAACATTTCCACAGATGTATAGCCCGGCAGCGGCGATGTACGCGGCGGCGGCGGGCTATCCGGGCTACATTGGCTACCCGGTGCAGTACTACCCGTATTACCCTACGGCCGCTGCTGTGCAGCCTTCCATCCAGCCTCTGCGACCCACTATCATGATTCCTGTGAGTATATGTTGACGATTTTATGATGATCTTGACTTTTGTGACTTTTATTATAGGTATTCACTAAACTGACTCAGTGCCATTGACATATTATGACGTGACAGAGCAGCAAAGGGTGTTTTTGTGACGGCCAAACGTCGGTGAGACGTTTCGTTCCGCTCCCATACAGTCCCATTCAGTCTCCCCAACTCACACTTTGTGGAATGGGGATCTTCGACACAGGCCGTTCAGAACCGGTCGTTATGTTAATCTTTGCTTGAGAGAAGCCTTTGTCATCCGGCAATGGAGGTCTTTTGAATAAAAGCAACTAATTGACCAGCTTTGGAAGTGTAGACTTAAATAATCCATTTGCCACTGATGGATTCGAGAGGGTTGTTTTAATGATCAGTCGTCTGCAGTGAAGTTTTAATGATCTGAAGATTGTAGTGCTGCAAATATGCATGAGGCTTTTGTCTATTAGCTTGCGTCATTAGAACACTATGATGATGATGTTTTCTTTTACATTTTGATTCTCCCCTCCAGGTTACTAACCTTTGTTATGTTACCTGTCATCCGCTTTGCACTGGAGAAAAGTCGAACCTTAACTTCGAACTTCTATGTTCTTTCTTCTTCTTATGAACTTGACCTTCACTGGTTGGGTTTTTATTGTCGGTAAAGCTGTAGATCCTGGCTACACAGGAGTTGCAGCGGTGGCAACGAGAGGTGGATATAGTCCCGTTTAGTGTCATTTTTTCATCGATTATAGTGATCATAGTTTAGGGTACTTTTTTCCAATCGTTATACCTCGACGACATAATCATAGCGTTTGATATAATTATCATCATTTTTCCTTGCAGAACGGTTTCGAAGCCGGCGGCCGCTTCGAGGGCCTGGCGCAGACGCTGCTGCCGCCCGCGCCGCCCGCCGTGCCGCCCTCGCCCGCGCACCTCGCCGCGCTCCAGCCGCACCAAGTGCTGTGAGTACACCACCCGCCCTGCCAGCAGGAGCGACCGCAGCGGGCTCGAGGACCCGGCGCAGACGCTGCTGCCGTACTGAGTACACACTGTGCCAGCAGGAGCGACCGGAGCGGGCTCGAGGACCCGGCGCAGACGCTGCTGCCGTACTGAGTACACACTGTGCCAGCAGGAGCGACCGGAGCGGGCTCGAGGACCCGGCGCAGACGCTGCTGCCGTACTGAGTACACACTGTGCCAGCAGGAGCGACCGGAGCGGGCTCGAGGACCCGGCGCAGACGCTGCTGCCGTACTGAGTACACACTGTGCCAGCAGGAGCGACCGGAGCGGGCTCGAGGACCCGGCGCAGACGCTGCTGCCGTACTGAGTACACACTGTGCCAGCAGGAGCGACCGGAGCGGGCTCGAGGACCCGGCGCAGACGCTGCTGCCGTACTGAGTACACACTGTGCCAGCAGGAGCGACCGGAGCGGGCTCGAGGACCCGGCGCAGACGCTGCTGCCGTACTGAGTACACACTGTGCCAGCAGGAGCGACCGGAGCGGGCTCGAGGACCCGGCGCAGACGCTGCTGCCGTACTGAGTACACACTGTGCCAGCAGGAGCGACCGGAGCGGGCTCGAGGACCCGGCGCAGACGCTGCTGCCGTACTGAGTACACACTGTGCCAGCAGGAGCGACCGTAGCGGGCGCCGAGGTCCCGGCGCAGACGCTGCTGCCGTACTGAGTACCTTCTGTGCCAGCCGGAGCGACCACAGCGGGCTCCGAGGGCCCGCAGACGCTGCTGCCGTACTGAGCACCTTCTGTGCCAGCCGGAGCGACCGCAGCGGGCTCGAGGACCCGGCGCAGACGCTGCTGCCGTACTGAGTACCCTCTGTGCCAGCAGGAGCGACCACAGCGGGCTCCGAGGGCCCGCAGACGCTGCTGCCGTACTGAGTACACACTGTGCCAGCAGGAGCGACCGTAGCGGGCGCCGAGGTCCCGGCGCAGACGCTGCTGCCGTACTGAGTACCTTCTGTGCCAGCCGGAGCGACCACAGCGGGCTCCGAGGGCCCGCAGACGCTGCTGCCGTACTGAGCACCTTCTGTGCCAGCCGGAGCGACCGCAGCGGGCTCGAGGACCCGGCGCAGACGCTGCTGCCGTACTGAGTACCCTCTGTGCCAGCAGGAGCGACCGTAGCGGGCGCCGAGGTCCCGGCGCAGACGCTGCTGCCGTACTGAGTACCTTCTGTGCCAGCCGGAGCGACCACAGCGGGCTCCGAGGGCCCGCAGACGCTGCTGCCGTACTGAGCACCTTCTGTGCCAGCCGGAGCGACCGCAGCGGGCTCGAGGACCCGGCGCAGACGCTGCTGCCGTACTGAGTACCCTCCCTGCCAGCCGGAGCGACCGCAGCAGGCTCCGAGGGCCCGGCGCAGACGCTGCTGCCGTACTGAGTACCATCCCTGCCAGCCGGAGCGACCGCAGCAGGCTCCGAGGGCCCGGCGCAGACGCTGCTGCCGTACTGAGTACCATCCCTGCCAGCCGGAGCGACCGCAGCAGGCTCCGAGGGCCCGGCGCAGACGCTGCTGCCGTACTGAGTACCATCCCTGCCAGCCGGAGCGACCGCAGCAGGCTCCGAGGGCCCGGCGCAGACGCTGCTGCCGTACTGAGTACCATCCCTGCCAGCCGGAGCGACCGCAGCAGGCTCCGAGGGCCCGGCGCAGACGCTGCTGCCGTACTGAGTACCATCCCTGCCAGCCGGAGCGACCGCAGCAGGCTCCGAGGGCCCGGCGCAGACGCTGCTGCCGCCGGAGCGAACGCTGCTGCCGCCGCGTGTCTACAGGGTTTACGCCCGCTTGTATACAGAGTGCGCCACGTGTACGATACGAGTATTTAGGGTTTACGTCTACGCCGCGTGTTTACGGAATGAACGCCGCGTTTCAGTTTAACAGGGTTTCATCATCATCATTTCAGCCATTGCTGAACATAGGCCTCCCCCAATGATAATAATAGTCGGTTGGTAGCGGCCTACACATATTTATGGGTCGACGTCCTACACTACGCTTTCCGGTACGTGGCCTCAACTCCAGAACCTTGCCGCGCCATCGGCTGTCAGTTATGGGTATACTATGTGTCCTGCTCATTGCAACTTCAGCTTGCTAATCCGGTCTACAGGGTTACGCCGGCGTGTATACAGTACTCTACGTGTATACGCCGCATGTATACAAAGTGTACATTACATGTATACAGAGTGTACGCTGCAAATATTACAATACTTTTAGTTTTTATTTTGATTGAGAAACCTATCTTCCTTTATTTATTTGCATTTTAATTGTTGTAACTTAGTTATTTAATTTCTAGCGTTAAGAGTCGCATCTCAAACTAATTTGAAAATTATAAATAACTTAAAAAAATCGAACTGCCTAAGGCGGGAATTGAACCCACGATTGTTGTAACTTGTTATTCGTCATTTTTTTTATGAAAAATTAATGATAATTGTGATTTTTCCTTCCAGGTGGCGTTAAAATCGATCTGAAGACGGGCGAGCTATCCCTACAGGCACCGATGCAACAACGGTAACACACGGACAGATTCACATATAATTATTATATATACTTACTTATACTATTACTATACAGGTTTCGACCACTTATTCGTTGGTTCCCGTTCGACGTAACTGAAAACTATTTTGGTTGCCAAACGAAATAGTTTTAGGTATAAATTATAAATCTATCGTTTGTGAAGAATTTAAAGTAGTGTAGTGATATTCCAATATACAGTATGTAGCCAAAAGTAATGTAAGATGAAGATCGTGTAAGTACTTATGCAACATTTCTTACTGTCTTCAAAAACGTTATTTTTAGTATATATGAAAATGGTGTTATTGAATGCAGCCATCTTTTTAACGTCTCTGTTCTTTACTGTAGCCAATCTTTTGAAGAATTGAGTTCCTTATTCTGTAATTGGCTCTTCTCTGTCACTTTGACAGCTGTCAGTCTATATTTTGACAAGTTAAAATGTCACCTTACTTTTTTAAGATGAATTTCGTTGTTTTTTTCATTTGCCTTATTTTGAAGCAATCTGTGTTGTAGGTTAGTCTTGAGCTGAATGCACATTGAAAAGTCGCCGAAAATATCAAAAATAACGTAGATAAATGTATAATATTATAGTAATTATATGAATCTTTAAAAAAATCGATATCTAAAATATCATCTGTTTAGTTATATTTGATATTTAATTTATCAAGCTTTAATTTTTATATTATTTAAGACTACTTGTTTTCAAATGAAATGATAAAAAAATTATAAAATATATGTAATTTTTTCAATAAATGAATTCATATATTTTACTAAACAAAAAAAATGAAAATCGAAAAAGTGTCTTCTGGTTTGTAAATTTACTAAGTCCGTGTGTTTTTTCTAAATGAAGTAATTAAATGAAATTTATATGACCAAAAGGAGTGCTCGGATCTGGGTGATAGGCAGGTGGGTTGTCGGTCGGTGTTGTAGTCTGTGGTTACTGTGCAGGTGCGGTCTCGGTCTTTTGGCGTACAAAAAAAACCTTAACAAATAATATAATATATCTCAATTTTTTTTTTAAAATCTCTCAAGTAATCTCAATCGAAAGAAAAAAATCTGTTATTAATTATTTAAAATTTGATTTAGGCTATTCAATTTACAAGAACAATACTATGACAGTGTCTTGTAAAGCCTTCATATGACAATTAGTGGCAGCTTTTGTTAAGTCCTGTTAAATGCCAAAAAGGAGAATGACTGAATTTTGTCAGAAAATTTTAGGAAAAAAAATCTCAAAAAATATCAGATCTGTGAAAACCAAAGCATTAATTATTGACCGCTAAAAGGCCGCATCTGTACGAGCCAATACTGTTTTGACTGTGATGTCTTTTTGGCTCCAGCTTCAGTGTTTGCTGTCTTGGGAATTATATAGCTATTTTTTAATCAATTTTCGTACACAAATAACAGATTAAAAATATTATGGACGTCAAATCTGCCTATTCGTTCAACAATAGAACACGGAAATTGGTTTTTCTTTTTGCACTAAAATTTTGAGCAATGTCTTTGTAAGAAGATTAACCTTATACTTTTTTTTATTATTGAACGTCTCGTTTGAACTAAAATCGTTATTTTGACAATTTATCTGAACGTTAATTTAAATATCTCACTGCCTTCAGTTTATCTAGTCTTATGTATAAATACTAGTTTATACAAGCAAACACTGGAGTCGGAGCCAGGTCGCCTCGCCGCTCGGCGGCTTCTCAACGCTATAGTATTATAGTATAGTCGGGGACGTTAGGTATACTAAACGTGTGCTGCCGGTTTGTCTGTCATGTATACTTTTTGACTACACTTTGATCATTGTCATGGAATTTTAAGGCGACGATAGCCCAACGATTCGAGATTCTTCTTCTTCAGTTGTGGTGACTCTTAACATAAGTAAAAAATTAACGGATCGTCCGTCCATCAAGCAGGCAGTTGAACGCAGTCCACTGTAAAGTCCTAGTTCTTCGCCCATTTCCAGATATTTCATAAAATTACTAAGTAATTCTTTGGACTACGTTGACGATCTTTTTTCGTATACGGACTTCTTCATTAAAATAAACATCTATGTGAAGTAAATAAAAAAATAAGATATACATGACAGACAAATTGACGCACAGTTACTAGTTATATATTAATGAAAAAAAAACGCGGTTGTGCGTGTGAATGAGAGGTGGTGTGAGAGAGATGGCGAATGTTGCGTTTATGTTATTGTATCAAATATGTATGTATGTATATTTGGAAGGGCTGTACCTTTGATCATGAGATTTTTTTTTGCAAAAAAGGAGTATAGTACATTAAAAATGTTACTGAAGTATTATTAAATCGCAAATTTTGGACGTGTGTTAAAAATGAAATTATACAGACATACGTTACTATCAATATTCCATATTAATATTACCTTCTAAGATCATATTTTTTAATATTTTCAAAAGCGATAAGGTAAAGAAACTTTTTTTAAAACAATAGCATTCACGAGTGAAATAAAAAAATAGTCATCTGTTTTAAAACAAAGGTAATTTTTGTTGCAAAGTAGTTTTATTTCGATATTTTCTTCGTGGTTAAGAAATGGAACTATTTTTAATGCGTTGCTTTAAATATATTTTAAATGGAGGCATTTTATTTAAAGCCAGTTAAAACTGCGAACTATTTTGTATAAAAATGTAGATTTACAAAAGAAAATGTAAAAAAATATTTATTGTTTCAAAATCGCCCCGATTTTTTTGAAGTGATGATCAAAGAGTGAAAAGCAACGATGGGAGTGTTTAGTATGTCTGAAAGAGATGAATATATACGAATCTCGTGTTAGGAATGTAGATTTGGAGCTGCCTTCGTGTCGACCAGTTATTTGACTTTAGGCTGGCTGTCCACTGTCAGAACTGTTAAAATAAAACTAACTTTTAACTCTCTTTGTAAAGTATGTCGCTGGCACAACCGACAAAAAATAATGTCAATCAATTTCGAACTGTATTTCGGAGAGATTAAATTCAAAATTTATTTGGCAAAAAATATCATTCTGTGGTGAAATACTGACAACCATATATTTTGAACTTTTCTGTCCTTTTATTATGGTCGAAAATCGATGAACGATTAAACTTGCCTTGCCTGTTGAAGTTTAAAACTACCTGAGCGGTTTTGGCACACCACCAGATTTCATTATTTTGTCTATCTTTTCTTTCTTAGTGGAAGAAGAGAGAAATACACCTTTTCCCATATCTGAATTGTAGTTTTTGTTTTTGCGCAAAATAAAGAAATTTAATTTCAAAGAGTGGTACAATTGTATATTTTCCTAGTCACTTTCTTATATTTGTTTCTAATTTAAAAGTTATATTAAATCTGGACAGTCGGCCATAGATTTCTAAAAACTATGAATATTATATTCGGCGCCATTTTTACCTCTTTATTTTAGAGGTCTAGAGAAAGGCTCTATTATATTATCATTATTTGGCCGACCTTTTGAACTATTAAATGGCAACTATTTTTAAAATAAAATGAGAAGTATGCACTGACACAACTAGTGACGCCATTTTGAAATAAAAACCAATTGAAAATGGCGTCTTGAAACCTGCTAACGGGAACATCATACACAGAATCAATAAAAATAAAAACAATAAAGCACCGATGTTCTATTTTTCGTGTTACCTATATCAATTTTCATATGACATTGGCCTCAACCTCAGAGGTTTGATTGCCATTAAAAAAAAAGAAGAAATTCGACAGGGCAGTCTAAAATCTTTATTAATATATACCACCCTTTACTTGTCTTTACATCTGAACTGCAGTTTAGTTATAAAGGTCGGCCATTTTGTTACATTGGGTCGTCCGCCAAATACGTTCGAACTGTTGTCCTCAAAAACAATATTACTGTTTACACCTGATAGTTATGGATTGCTAATGTGTGTACGATCGTTCGCCGCTCGTTCGCTCGCCCGACCCAGTGTAACGCAGCCTTTAGGTCTTTACTAGTTTATATTGAAAGTTTTTGATTATTATTGCATTTTGTTGTGCGAATCATGTTGAGTGCGGCGACGTTTTGGTTCACGTTTTGCTCGGTGCATCGCGTCTGCATTTGACAGTGGCATTTTAAGCGTGCTCTATGAAATAATTTAGTAACGACTTCTATTTGATACCCTAAATGTAGTTTTCATCTTAAAATCATATGACAAGTTTTTCTTTGGTAGTTTTTCATCTTTAAAAGTACTTGCTTGTCTTATTCTCCTCAACAACTTTTTAAAAACATGGTGCCTGTTTTGGCATACGTTATGGAAACACTAGACTCTCTACCAAGTTAGATTTTTTTTTAAAAGTAAGTACAGACGTACCTCTTAATTACCAGTGATACCACCTCTGGAGTCTGTGACCTTATGACTAAGTAAATAAAATTCATTTCTACCCGACTGCAACAGAAGGAGCTTTTATAAAAACCTTTGAAAACCATGTCAAACTTTGAACTGGCTCGGCTCCTGCAATAAGTGCCCAACTGCATTTCTCCCAAAAGCATGCTCTTGCCAAAAGTAATGCCGCTGTAAGACGCGACGCACTCGTTAATTTCGTAGTATCCCGCGAGGTGAAGGGACCATAGATTTGATTTCGTCATAGTTTCAAGTAGCTATGGAAGTGAGTCGGAATTTTTGTATGTTTTTCTTGTTTGTTTTATAAGCGGAATTGTTTAAACTGGATTTTGGCTGAAGTTTTTTACATCGTGAAGAAAAGACCGGAATTATTAAGTGTTATTTTTGTGAAAATCAAAACCACCTAAATATCAATGAGTTGTTGTCCATTCAGAAGCATTATTTTGTTGCCAGAACTAAAAATTTTATATAATAATGACTTTTTTTACCCAAATAACACTTATGGCATTTCGATTTTGTAGCCGATATATCTTGTGAAGATGATTTTTGTAAATGAAATTTATTTATGTGATAAAACTAGATTTACTATGAAGAAATTCGCTCTTTCGGAAGCTTGTTTGGCAGTTTTATTACTGTAATAAATTTTATTTTATCGAAACATCTTACTTCAGGCAGTTCTCTAGTAATATCTGACTCTATATCAATCTACAATGTGTCATTATCAACAGTATCCTATGTTCTTCTAGAAAGATCTGATAAATATTTCTCATTTAGTGATAAACATAAGTAAATGTATCCATTAAGAATAACTTGAAAACTTAATTTGTAGTAGAAACACTATCCCTTATGAGACTTGCAAGAAAAATCGCGTTGTGA